CTGATGGTAAGTGGCGATGCAGCCTTTGATGGTAAGCGCGCTAGCTCAGTAAAAACCTATTCACTCTTGCCTTGAAGACGCCTACGTTGTAATCGGACGGAAAGACGAACGCCGGCAGGTTAGAGTATTATATGTATGTATTTCCTTACACAGCTGTTTAAAAACGTGATATGAATGATTTCCGTTTGGAGACATCACGCTTTCGCATTTTACATTGGCCTCGGAGAACAAACTGACTGACATTTTAAAGCTCGATTCCGTTGAAATCTTTGTTTTTGCCACAATATCTGAGATTTGTATCGTAACTGAGAAAGGTTAGTAAAAGTGCCGAAGACGAACAGGCCACCGTAATGTGAGGTTGTCTTTTGGATTATTTATAACCAAAGCCAGCCGGCGCCAACGACACGAAGGCGCTGAATGCTAAAATAAAACAAACGTTACGAGAGAAATGATGTCGCATTCACAGTGAGATAGACGCAATTGCTATAAAGAATATACTTACTATAATATTATGAAGGCGGAAGTTTGTATGTATGTATGGATGTTTTTTTCCTCTTTCACGCAAATACTATTGAATGGATTTAAATGCAATTTTACAATAATATAGCTTATACGTCAAAATAAGACATAGGCTGTAATTTATATACATATTTTTTGTATGTCTTTGTCTTTCTGTTTGAATGTTACGCCTTCGGCCTATTCTACGCAGACGTAGTCGCGGGCAGCAGCTAGTAAGAAATATAAGACACATTACTTTTACTTTTTTTTACAAGCGCGACAATAAACGAACACACGTCTAACGCTACTTGCCAATAATCATAAAAAAGTATTAACGTTAAAAAATGTTATGTTATTTCTCTTTTAAATTCATTCAATCCATTCATTTGCTTTGTGACCTTTACAAATGAACTTTACGTTACAGTTTTATACGTAAAGGTGTTCTAAAATTCTTTGTTTTGTAAAATTTTATACCTCTGTAAATATTGATGTTTAAAGAAAGTAAACGCTTAATACAATTTTAAAAAGTTATCCTCTATATTGTGTGTTCATTTATTGTCGCGATTGTAAAGACACGCTGTATAATCTACTCCTCGAATGGATAACGACCATGACATATATTTTTTTATTGATGTTAACTATTTAATAATTTCGACAGAATAGGAAACAATATTACTAAATCGTTTTACAAAGCCATAATCTAACGAGTCTAAAGCGTTTTTTGTGTCAATTCACAATGTTTCGAACACATGACAAAGTCCAAGATGGCGGAACGGACAAAGAAAATTCACAAAAAACCCCGTAAATTAGATTTTTTACGATAAATAACTTTTCCTACTTAGATAAAGTTACCGAAATAACCATTATTAATAATAATCTGCAAAAAAATATTAAAATAGGATGCAGTGGCACCTGACAATAATACAAGCTCATAAAATTCACATCCTTTCTTATAATTGTAGTATACATAATACAGATAAGTGTTAAAGTAATGGCCCAGAGACACGCAATTACAAAAGCGATCAGCCAAACAGTAATTACGTATGAAATTAATGTACAAATTTAACAAAGCCGCCAAGTCGACTACCAGTAAGCATCAAAACTTTAATCAGCATAAATGCGTCTTTGGAAATCTTCAAGTTCCAACACTTTGCGAAATTTGGCGCCCTCTTTGAGAGTTTTATACAAATAGGAAGTGATCCATCCGCGACGCGTTTCTCTCCCTTTGTGGCGACGTTTTGCGCTGAGTCTAGCTCAAAGCTACGCGACTGGAAGAGCTTTAATTATTCCCAACGTGGGAAGGGGGCTCTGTCGCGCGGCACTCCTTAACCTGCACCCTTTATTTCATCGGCCAATGGGGAATGGCTGTGCACCTTAACATCCCGCTAGACACTTTTTCTCTGGTACGTTTTATATTGATGATATAGCGATAGTTTATTTAAATTTAATTTTATTCGACTTATACATATTTAAAGTTGCAGTCAATGCAGTAGCTTCAATAGGGCAGACTAGTTCGGGAAAGTATTACGACCTCACAGAATACCGGCGTCAAAGGAAACTTATTTTATTTAAACCTTTGAACTATACATAATATACAGAGATTGAAAGGCTCCATAAAAGGCTGCAAATATATTTGTAATGTCCATGGAAAGCGGTGATCATTACTTTTTCATAAAGAAGATTTTTTTTTTATAAATTCACTAATCTATACATTATGAACTGCAAACAACACGCAAAGCTAGTTTCGACCAATGCGTGCTACCCCATCTTAGTGGGCCAAAACGTGGCTGCTTACCATAGAAACTTAATTGTTTCTTCTTAGTAATTACAATATAATATTCATAATTAAAATGCCAATTTAATAATTTAATTTTTTTAGTGCTGTTCGCTTTTCATGTATAGAATTTTGAAATGGTATAAATGTTAGCAACACAAATAATCGTTTAAGATTTTAGAAAATTCTCAAAAAAATATATATATAGATGAGTTGAGAAACCTCCCCCTTTTTTGAAGTCGTTTAAAAAGTATAAAACATGCAGAAAATAACAAATGAGCAACAAAAAGATTGGGCTCGTCCGGGATTTGAACCCGGGACCTCTCGCACCCTAAGCGAAAATCATACCCCTAGACCAACGAGCCGCTACCGTAAGTGTCGAAAATAATAAATATACTTTGGCATCTTAATCAAAACATAAAAAACTGATTTAAATATAATAATGTACGAAATATTACATCATATACGCAGCACTTAAAAATGAAAATAATTACCACCCAACTCAACAAAAAAAATTATATTTTTTTTTACGACGTTGCGTGTTAATTATATAAATTATGACATCACAACATCAAATCTAACGGTATGGTAAAAAAAAATATTTCTGAGAACAATAATGGTAGTAAAACAAATAGCTTTTCGTACATCTGTACATTACCATTATTATAAAACAGATATTAGCAATACTGTTGCAAATTTACGTTGCTCTGGTTCTTAAATCAACTGATACACAAAAAATATTTTTATTTTTATCGTTTGGAATAAGGTACTACTTCTGTTAAATTTTATAACTTTACCCAGAGCAACTAACTTTTTGCTGACAGAAACAAATAACCAACACTCAGGAATATTTCGTTGTACTGAAATGATCTCTCGTATTGAGGTCGTTTAGTCGTAGACGTTACTAGCATGGCAGAACATAGAATCTAAATACATATCTCACGATCGCTGTTATCCCAAAGGGACAGGTTACTAGGTCGCTAGGAACGTGCTAGGGACGCTTTGTGAGACCTTTATGTGCTGTTTGTCATTGTTTAAAAATAGGACGTATTGCACGCACCTTACCGAGGATAAGGCCTCATTTCATCTAAGAAATAGCCGCTTTACATCTATCTACAATAATGTACTATTTCGATAGAAAACCGTGGAATCACGATAATTAAAAATGAGCATTAAATATACAAATTATTCGAAATAAAAGTAAATAAATCCAAAAATAACAAGAAAAAAATTTGGGCTCGTCCGGGATTTGAACCCGGGACCTCTCGCACCCAAAGCGAGAATCATACCCCTAGACCAACGAGCCACATCTACTAGTGCAATAAATAAGCTTGACTTTATTTTCTATTATTTTAAATATATATTATTGGTTATTTTTATTATTTGTAATATAATATTTTAATTCCTCTTCATTATAATGTGTATCTTTGCATTTAGTTGTTTAAAAAATAATAAACCTAACGACATAACAATTTTTAGTTTTTGGTTAATTAGGAAATTCCATTTGTTAAGCTGTTTTCCTGTGTTTTAAGAAAAATAATTAATCAACAAATACATAAAACCACAAATGGTTCGTTAATACGCTTATTTTTAGAGACACAATAAGTGGCAAGAATTAAAATTTTGAATGTGGATATCTGAAACTTAATGTTATTCGATTCGAAGTCGATTTGAAAAATTTTTTTTAGATAAAATTTTAATTGCTTCATTTTTTCCGAAAAATTATTCGATCTTAGTTACTTCCAAATAGAGCCACCACTCGATTGTGCGCTGGCGTGAAATTCAGTGGTACGAACTGTCATGAATTCGAGTCAAACTCGATTTATTCAGAACTGGAATCTGTGGGGAGTAGGCCTGCAGTTTTGAACGCAGAGTTAGAGGGCTAGTCAGACCCATTAATACGGCCCTCCGTATTGTGAAGGGCCGTATCAAGCTTCATCAGTAATCAATCATCATTGGGACTACAAGGAACGATTAACGTAAACGAACTTAATGTCTTAATTTAACAGAAAAATTACTTTTTTTTTAAGTTGCTATTGACTGGCACACTTGATGATAAGCAGTCATCATGGACGCACCAGCTCAGTAAAAACTATAACACTCGTTGAATAAAATCCTACCATATTCGGAGAAACACTAGCGAAATGTATGTAATTCACACTTTGATGTACGCGTTACGTACGAGAAGACTAAGCTCTTAGGCCAAACATAAGTAATGTAACATAACATTGTAACAAAATAGATTTAAAATTAAAAAAGTTGCATTTAATACATCCACGGTAGAAATTGTAATACATTGAATAACAATTACTTAAAAATTTACCAATATCTATGAAACATTAAATATAATGTCAGGTATTAGAGTATAAGAATTGAGAATTGAGTTAATTAATTGAGCGAGTTACTAGGCCTTATCGTATGAATAAATCCAACATGGTACTACTACCCAGCCTGTTGATCCGTGGCAATAGAGTTGCAGATTAAGAGTCGGACGAATATCTTTAATATGTTTATGTAATGAAAATTATTTCATAGTATTACACTTTAAATACATATAAACAGGCCTTTGAAACGCATTAGGCACAAGAAGGTTCACACACATAGTCCACGTAATTATATCTCCCTAATCTTTCAAACTATGTTAGAACCATCTCTAAAGAATACAGTATACTAATACTAAAATGAATGCTAAAAAGTATGACAAAGAAATTTCTAATGTATTTTGCTACTCGTCAATAGATGGCGCTGCAAAATAAAAATTATAAGAACAGTTAATCATAGTAGTAATCATTTAGAAGGATGTTCGGGACCAGTTAAATAGGTAGTCATTTTATGAAATCAAAGTTTGTAGGTATAAGCGCCATCTGAACTAATTTCATAACATTACATGAAAATTTAAAAAACCAACATAGATTCCTGCTACGCTACTGGTCAATAGATGGCGCTGGTATTAACTCACAAAACTCAACATGTATTTGCGTTAAATTTTAACTAACTAATATGAAAACATATTAAAATAAATTAATTACTTACCCATAACACCTAACTGCTGTGGAGAAAGAGGTGCAGCATCACCTCCTCCAGAACCAATGGAACCAGAAGCTAACGAAAGACGTTCACTGAAACCCAAAGGACTGCTACGGCCGCAGCTGCTAGCAGCTGATCCCATACCTTAAAAGTATTACCAAAATATTAACGATCTATAGTTAGCCCAATTATAATTTACGAAAAACCAAAACATTAGTGTATTTTGTTTTGGTTCATACAATAATGAATGTTTATGAATACTGCACACCAAATGGAATAATTCCATAATTTTGTACAGAAATTACTTTCATTTTATTTTATCTGCTGAACATACCTCCATTTGGACTTCGCATTCTTGAAATTCGCTTATTTAATGCTCTTTGAATTCTAGGATTAAGGATTGGTTTTGCACGCCTTCTAGCTAAATATCTTGATAAAACTCCTACGACCATTGCACTTGTCCCAACTACTCCTATGCTCCATAATATAACCTATGTAAAAAAAAAATATAAATAATTTCATATGCATGCAACGATATATGAAAAAAATAATAGTAATACTGCACATACAACACTAAATATGAACCATTTCAATAAATATATAACAGAGGTATATTAAGAAGAGGTTTTTTTTTTCATATGTATTAGGGATAGTTGTTAAAATGTTTATATTACCCCTGTAATAATATATTAGGAACTTAAACAAATTTAATCCCAATAAAGATACTAACCTTCTGAGATGTAGAAAGTTGAATTTTAAAAGATAATGCCTGTTGTAGATGTTTCAATTTTTCAAGTATTGGAGTAGCTTGAATTAAATGTTGCATCATTACGAATTTTATTTATAATTTTTCACTTATGTTACTATTTACATAAACGTAATTCGCAACTGAATATTAGCCTATAGGTTATCTGTCAAAAGTCTACGTGACGCAACATAAAATAACTAATTTTATTATAAAAATCTATGCTAGTAAGTACGCGAAATGAACATATTATATCGTCATTTTAAGATTAAACATTAAACTGAGATATGTTAGTCATAACAGCATAAAATTAGGTAAGGACCTATGTGAAAAATTCAAATATTCGCGGGGAAACATTAGGTAACGTTCAAAAACTCTATATTATCACAGTAATTGTACTGTCAGTGTGTTCATTTTTCATACAATTAGGTTTGACCTGTTGATAAAATGTTTTCATTAAAAATCTTTATATGTTGTCTTTTTGTTTAAAGTATTTGTAATGCCTAGTATATGAGGTAATAAAAAGTCTAATGGTAATTCTCTATCGTATATACAGCGTGTCGTTACCATCGCGAAAATAAATGAACACACTTATAGGGGATAACTTTTTAAAGTTGTATTAAACATTTAAATTCTTTAAACATCAATATTTACAAAGTTATTAAATTTTCCAAAACAAAGAATTTTAGAACATCCTTACCTATAAAAGTGTAACGTAAAGTTCATTTATAAAGGTCACAAAGCATATGAATCGGTTGAATGAATTTAAAAGAGACAAAACATACTGTTAGAAGGAGAGGCTTGTAATACGACGCTGTGGCGCGAGTTGTATAGGATGTTACAAATTTTGTTTCTTTTTTACTTTATTAGTTTATTTGAAAAATATTTTTTTTTAATTATGGATTTTGTTTAACGTTAATATTTTTTTATGATTATTGGCAAGTAGCTTTAGACCTGTGTTCATTTATTGTCGCGATGGTAACGACACGCTATATAGAAAAAATGTAATGGGCACAGGGTACAATTTTTATTTTTATTTAAAAAAAATATTTTTAATTTCTTCAAACAAAAAGACAACATATAAAGATTTTTTAATGTAAACATTTTATCAACAAGTCAAACATATTTGTATGAAAAATTAAGTATCACAATTGGTCTTTGCGAAAAAGAGACAAACACATAAATATAAAGGATTACACAAAGACGAGACAAATATTATAAAAAATAAAAACTTTACAATTATCTTACCCCTAATACTCTACATTCATCGCATTCTTAAAGTTACTTTTTACACATTATTTTAAAATTATTGATTTAATTATTTACTAGTCCTTCCAAAAAGTACCTTTACAAACTTTTTTTATCATAATTTTGATACTTTTAACAAAAAAAAACAGAATATTACGCCAAATTTATCAAGCCAATTTACCAAGCAATCGGAAATGTATGGCAAGCTAGCCATACATTTCTGATTCGAAGCCTACATAATTACGATGCCTCCGTGTAACAGGACGCTTTTGAATCGCTTATGTTCGTGTTAGTATTGTTATCTATAAGGGAGTCTGCATGCATTTGTTTGCTTGCAAAATGGTTAATCATGAAACTTATTATATATAAAAATATTTTTTTTGGGAATTAATTACTTTCGTTAATCTCAGGTTCTCGTAGATGATTAATTTCACTAAACAATTTTAAATTTATTTGATCTTTCGACGTTGTATGTTTCGTGATCAAATTGCAATTGCAATTTTATTACTTTCTCTGAATTAGACAGAAAAAATCTTAATAAAAAACTTACGCTTTGCATCACTAAGAAATGTCAGAATCCGCGAATTTGAAAATTAATCTTCATTCTTCGTGACACTACTTTATTTATGTCATTTTCACGTTATGCAGCAACAACAATATTTTAAATTGGTGCTAAACACCTTTTGTCTTTAACAGTCGACGTATTACTTTCATTTATATATTTTATCATTGTTATAAAATATGGAACCATAAAAATTGGAAGTAGGTACTTGTTTTCTGGACGTCATTATGGAATTAATACATCAGTCTATGCAGCATGAAACACTATTAACGACAGTCGAAGACCTTCCGGATGAAGTTTTAGAATTTATACTAAGCTTTCTTCCACCCTACAAAGATCTACAAAACTGTATGGCTGTTTGTAAGAGATGGTGTGGCTGTGCTCAAAGTAAGAACTGCTTAAATATTTAGTTACATCTGTTATAAGTTAATTACCAGGACAGCTTTAGATTGTGACCTCAAAAACTGTTTTTTTCCAGATGTTTTACGTAAAACGTCCTTTAAGCTTATCAAAGCCATTGCGGAATTTAATATATTGTGGAAAAATCTTACTGCAACTGACATTGTACCGACTATAACCAAAAGGTTTTCCCATGCAGCATGTATTCTTGAAAACAACATGTATATATTTGGAGGATGTACTACTAATGCTACTTCATTTAATGACCTTTGGATGTTTGATTTATCGAAAAGACATTGGATTAGACCATTGGCAACAGGAACGTATCCTGTACCAAAAGCATACACATCAATGGTAAACTATAAAGATTGCTTAATTGTTTTTGGAGGATGGACATATCCTTCCCTCTCTCAATATTATCAGAATGTCACTATGTTCAATGATATTCATTTTTATTGTGTTAATACAAACAAGTGGATTCTTATAAGTGCTTCTAATCCACCACCACCTATGGCAGGACATTCAGCTTGCATTAAGGGAGACGAAATGATTGTATTTGGGGGATTGGTTATGTCAGCAGCTCAAAATTATCAAATACAATGTTCCAATGATGTATGGGTTCTTGATATAGCCACATTTAGCTGGAGGAAACAACAAACAACCAAACCAAGACCCTCACCACGATATGCCCAATCACTGATTAGTTTAGATATTGAGAGGTTAATGCTATTAGGAGGAGTGCAAACTTTGCATAATCGCTTTGTTTACAGTGACTGTTGGGTATTAACTATGAAAGGACCTACTTGGACATGGAAAGAAATTGCTGTAAGAAATAAAGAGTGGGCTGCAGCTAACATATGGTGTAATCCAGCATGTAGAGTTGGTGATAAGGTTGTAAGCCTTAGCAGAAGTAGACATGGTTGGAATGGTGCAAAACCTTTGGTTACTTCTGCTGTACGACTATCAGCTCTAAGTAGGCCTGAGAATGCTCCTGTGTCTGTAAGGATAGAGCAGAGTCTGCAGAGACCTTTAGACAGAGATCAAAATATAAATGGTAGACGTGGAGTGCTACCTAGGCAGCCTATCACTAGGCAAGCATCTAGTAATTTGAACAATGAGCCTATTGCAGGACCAAGTAATATGCAAGAAAGAGAAAAAAGTGTTGTGGTTTCAAAGGAAAATCCTGGTCAAGATTTTAATCTTGAAGCAGGTGCAAATTCCGATTTACAGCAAAGTAACAATGCTGTTGATTTTAATAAAAAAGACTTAAGTACTAGAAAAAATAAAATTAAGGTAAATAATTTATCACATCCACAACAATGGATATATTTTTAGACTATTTTTAAATATTTTACCTTTCCTAATTTCAGAATAAAGGAATGAAAATAGTGAGACAACTACAGGAAGCTAATAAATATCGAATGGCTGCATTTGCATGTGATTCATCTGTTAACAATACATCTAATGAAAATGATCTCATCAATCAAAGACAAATTGCACATTTAGAAAACAGAATAGAACCTCAACCCCTAGCAGCAGACAACCAGAATAGACAACCTGCAGTTAAAAAAGTGAAACGCAATACACTAACAATGCATGTGCTTGATATTTCTACTGTTGTTAATGGGAACTGTATGAATTATGTATCTTGGTTGTGTCCTCGATTGGGGGAAATGAATGGAGCTCCTGAGGAATTAGTTATGTATTCATTGGTTAAAGGAAATGGAGAACTTATAATGTTTGGTGGTGTTCATAATGATATCAGCATTTCAAACTACTCTGAACAGCAAAATATGTATTCCAATTCTTTGCATTTTATCACACCGCCAAGAGATGTTATTTAGTTTGTTACAAATAATGTATATTTAAATGTTATTTTATTTAAAGTGTATGTATATAAACAATTTTCATTGATTACAATAAACATTCAAGATATGCAACAAATTTCTAACATGTAAATAATAAAGACATAGGAAACTTGCTCAAATAAATTCATGGGGTAACATCACTTCCTAAATTTTCAAAATTAATAAATTATCAGCTCTTTCAAATAAGATTAATTTTCAAAGACATACTACATAAAATGCTTATTTATTATAAATTTGCTTATTACTGTCATGAATATGAAACCCTGCTAGGATTTCAATTGACAATGGATGTTACTGGTTCATTTTCTAAATTCAGCTTTCTTTTGTGAATAAAACTAAGAAATGTTATATGAAGAAATGTTTCTTGTTAAAAATATAAGTAATATTTTTAACAAGAAACGTTTCTTCTTTCACTTGTACATTTTAGTTATTATTATATTTTGATTTTTTTTTTTCGAAAATCACCCCAGGAACATTTTTGCTTTTGAATACATTGTGATTTACCTTCTCCATTACCTTGAATTTTACTACAACTTTTCTAAATGTCTTAGAAGTATCATATACGGAAATTATAATAAAACAGGTGTTTCATTCACATTTATAGTGCCTTTGCATTTGTTATTTTTTTATGCAAGGTGATTTTATAAATGATGGAACATATAACAGAGCATAATATACAGAATTTTATTCTAAATCTGAAATAAATGGTACATGCTTGTGACCTCATTCTTTTTTCAATTATTATTTAAAATTTTTTCTAACGTGGACACCCTGCCTTACTGTCTAAATACAATAACCTATTCATGAACACGAAAACTGTTCGCTGAACGCAAAATTACTAAACTGCTTATCAATAGGTTGACCACTCTTAATGGGATAAACAATGTTTGAATTTATATATTTCTTGTTTTTGTCAAAATAAAATATTAATATATTTTTTTTGAATTATGGAATGTTCAATGGACATTATGTTACAAGTATATTCTTCGTCTAAAAAATCACCCTGTATATAAAGTTATAGAAACAAAAAATATTTGCATAATAAGCAAAAAACAAAAAAGTTTTTCACATGGCATATTATTTATAAATACAAATCCAACTGTTTAGAGTGTAACATAAACTTTACATTAATCATCATTATTATCATTTCAGCTTGTTTCAGTCCTTAAGTATCACAGCTTTTATTATTAGCTAGGCTCTGCACATGATGAAGTTAAAATTTAGTGATTACTTAACATCACTTGAATCACCAGCTCTCTTGTCAACTTACTCACATAAAAAAGAAATTGTAATATCTCTACATGGTTTTGTAAAAATAAACTTTGCTTTAAATAAGTAATAAGATTTATTTTTAATGTTTATTGTTAAATATAAATTCTTTTCTATTGATCTTTTTCTGGTATAAGGCCACCAAAGACAGCCACAGGTATTTCTTTTTTCTGGACTGGTGCAACTTCTTCATCTCCACTGTTATCCGATTCGTCATCAATATCAATCTCATCCGGGTTGAGAACCTTATCACCGCTTTCTTTCAGACCTTGGGTTTCTCCACGAACAAACATAATGTTACCTCCCTTCCTTTGAACAGCCATTTCAGCTGCTTTGGCTTCTAACATTCGCATTCCATCTTTAATGCCTGGTGCTAGATCAGAAACAGTACCTGCTGCTTGAGCAGCCGAACTTAACATTTGGGCAGACATCATATTAACTTGGGTATTATATGTTGCTTGAACACTTCTTTTAATTCGAAGCATTTCTCTCATTGTGTCTTCATTACCATGTCTCACTTCAAATTCCTTCCAGGTATTCCAAAACTCCGATGTTATTCTTGGATCACACATTTGACTGCAATGAGAATAAATGGCTCGTGCTCTATCAATTTCACCTAATCGAGTTTCCATTTCCGCGAATCGTATGCACATTTCCCTGGCTTTTTCTTCTGGAAGAGTTTCAATAGCTTTTTCATATATTTGGCGTGTCTTTGGTACGCCGTATATTTCAGCCGCTTTTTTTATATAAATATTGAACATTTCAAACATTTGTTCTGGCAGAACCGCCATTGTAGCTCGCTCATATACCGCCATGGCATGTCTTGCTAACCCATGTTCTTCTTCTAATTTTGCGTAGAGTAAAAATATTGCTTTTGCAAACTCGGGTGGACAATTTTCTAAGCATTGTTCAAATAAGTCTCTAGCTCTCTCCAACTTGGAACCACCATATCTCTTCAAAAATTTTGTTAAGTAAGTATTCCAAATATCATACACATTGGGCCATTTAAAAAGTGCAATGCCTTTTTCATATGCTCTAAAAGCTTCTTCAAAATAGTTATGTTCCTCTAGGAAAAGTCCATAGTTGATTATTATTTGTGGAGTTGCAATTTTTAAATCTATGATATGATCATAAACAGCTTTACAAGATTTATAGGTTCCAAAACTTTCCTCGAGATCTGCATACATGGACCACACTTTCAAGGATTTATATAAACGCATTTGAACTGTTTCATTGTCATCATGGTATGCTACCTTCCGACTTGGAAGAACTGTAGCTTTTTGCATCAACTTTAAGGCTTCTTCATAATTTTCATGTTTTATTTCCATTTCTGCCCATTCACACCACACTGATGCTAAATCATCTACTTTAGCATAATTTACTTGAGTTGCTTTTTCAAAGATTAATCTAGCATCCTCTATTTGATCATTACTTTCATAAAATTTGGCAAAGCCAACCCACAATGTGTATAGTTTGCCTACAGCTAGCTTAGGATCAACTGTTTGAACTGCTTCAGTATAGGTATCTATGATTTCATGGGGTTTCCCTTCATATAATTTTACTCTCTTATGCCATTCAGCCACATTGTGAGGATTTTGCCTGAGAAGAACTGAATTAAGCAATAAAAGTCTTCTTTCCATCAAATATTCAAATCTGGCTAATCTTAATTCTAAATCAACATCATCATCTTCAGTTGGGTTTGCTTTTTTGGCAACTTCCTCCATCTTTTTACTTAAACTTAGCTCTTCAAATTGTGCATAAGTATCAAAAACTTGTGTAAAATCTCTAACTGTAGTTACAGTTTGTATAGCTTCCTCATAGATGTCCCTAGCTCTTTCAAAGAGACCACTCCTTACATAATAATCTGCAAGTGAGTTCCATAAATGACCCAACTGATCAGTATACCTTCTAAGACCACCTCTGATTATTGCATCAACATTTAGGGAATGAATCTTATCAGGATTTTTTGATATGAGTTCACATAACTCATTCCACAACTGATGATTGGACTTGCCATGCTTTGATTGGAAGTTTTCATTATTCACAATTTGTGCAAGCTTTACAGCTGCTTCATCTAACTTGTTTATTGAAATGAGATAGTCTATATATTCTTCAGTATCCTCGGGACTTAATTTTAAATACCTTCTGAAAACTCGTACAGCAGTTTCTGGAATGTCATGCTTTTTCAAGAAACAAAGGTAAAGTGGCCAAATTCGATGATGTTGTGTTATAGGTAAAGCTCGTAGGGCACTATCAAATGCTTTTCTAGTTATTGTAATCTTACACTGATCTGTTAGAAATGTACAGTAATCCATCCAGATCCTTGGCATTTTATGCATAAATACTAACGATCTCTCGAAACAATTGTTTACATCTTGATAACAAATCTCTGTAATACAACGACCCCTAATTTGAGATCTTCTTAGTTTAAGGTAATTATACCACAATTTAAATGATCCAGGTAACTCTTTTAGAGCTCGTTCATAAATCATATTTATTTCATGTTTGGGTGCTGCCTTTTTGTGCTCAATGTATCTTAACCAATGTTTAACAGAATAGGGGTTCCTTAATATTTCTTCTTCGTATGGTAAGTCTTCTTCACTCTAAAAAAAACATTTCACAAAAAACTTTGATAATGTATTAAATGAGAAAATAACAAGTATAACCTAAAAGATTAACACCATAATAGTTACTAGCCGATTTTAGGACTGGCTTACAATAGGAATATTAATTATTTTTATTATTAAAGTCTAGGGGAAACGGCACTTACGAAAAATATTTCTATTTCTTTTCCGTCAAGCAAAGGCATTGTGATTTCTTTCGAAAATGATGTATATTTGGAAATAAACACGAAGCGTTTTCCTCACAGTGGTTATTGTTATTTCGTATAGCTGCTAATTTTAGCAAAATTAAGCGTCATGTTAAATAGAAATTAATTAAAAATCACGAAAATTAAAAAAGACAAAGAGTTAAGTTTATCATAACACAAGCAACAGCAATGATATTATTAGAGATGCCGAAAAAATATCGAAATTTTTGGCCGATATATTTCGATCCAATATATCGATATAAAAAATTTAATATCGAAATCATATCAAAAACGATATTTTTAATCAAACAGATTCAAAGCCGTAAAAGATAAAAAAACGGAAAAAAAACTGTTGTCCATGAATAGTATTGTCGCGGATGCAGTGTTGCATTTTTTACTATAAAATACCATTAATTTATTTCATGCTTCGTACTTTATACTCTCCAAATCTAAGATAAAACATGGTATAGAGGTGTTACAAATCATTGATAATGAACTACATGTTAAGTTCATTTATACATAGCATGCAAAATATTAATGGCATCAACTAAAGTTACTTTAATTTAATATGTAAATGAAGTAAACTAAAGTTTTAATAATCATCAAATTCCCATTAATTAAATGTCACATAATATAATACCGAGTTTTCATAAAAAATTATTTGACTTAATAAAAATTATTATTAGTTATTATTAAATCAACCTGAATTAACATTATTTTTTTATGGAAAATTAGACCGATATGTCGATATTTTTTTTCGATATATCGAGGCCGATATTGATATTTATTTATAAATATTGATATTTCGATATATTTTTCGACTTTCGGCATCCAATGATGTTGTTGAATGTTGGTTGAATGAAGTAACCGAAGTAACATTAGAGTAAATTGAATTTACAATACCTACAAAGTATAAATTTAAAAAAAATTAGGCAGTGTTACCAACTAGCAAATATTTGTCTCTAAAGCCTAGGTCAAAACCCCCTAATAAAATAATTTTATAAAAAAAAAGTAATAATAGCGCCGAGATTCGCCTCATATACATATAGTGGAGGATATTGCAGCGGAAATGTTTGTCTTTAAAAAAGCCAAACATTTTTACCGTAATTCCAAAAATGAGATTTATAATGAATGATAAAAAAAATTAATTACTTTGGCATTTTTTTTTAAACTTATCCTACACTACGGCTACTGAATACGTTTTGACGGACACTTATATATATATATATATATATATATATATATATATGTATATACTATTTATTAATTTATACAATTTATTGTACACACCGTAACAAAAGAAGCATTAACCATAAAAACGTTTCAAATGGTTGTACAAATGGCAGCCTTATAATTAGAAATAAAGAGTGATTTCTTCCAGGCAGACTTCATAAAGGAGATTTAAAAAAATATTCGGGAGCGTGTACACATGAATAAGACCAATTACATAACAATTATAAATAATAAATATACATGTATACTAAATAGTCAGATATTTACACTTTATTAAAAAGAACAGAGATTAATAAAGGAAAACAGGTAGATACATAAAATATCCTCATTCTCATTTTCTCTTCATTCTTTACTTTTATTTCAGCCATAGTTCAACTCCGCATCGTAGTAATGAGAAACCGTATTAGATTTCACTAAGCCGCTAGGTCAACAAATAAATATGAGTGGGTTAATTCCATTACTCCAGGTGCAATAAAAAGTAGGTAAAAATATACGTAGTACAAATAACCTTAAAAATATAACGCCCATAAAAATCCCAACGCGTTTGTTTACCCCATAAATTTGGTGGAGAAAACCACCCCGCCAAAGGCAACCCCAACTTTAGGAATGCTCTTCTTTTATCGATATTACCTTGTTCGATATCAATATTTGTTATTTTAGTCCTTTTGAAATCGGATCGTGAAAATGTTTAAATCAATCTCGAATCATAATATCACGAATTTCGAAGTCATGTTAAAAAAATAATTAATTTTAAATAAATTTTCAATTGATATATTTTCCTAATCTGCTGCTTTTAAACCAAACGATCTTTGTAAAGCGGTAAACTAAGTACGTCTTACCTTTATTTGGAATTCAAAGCAGCGTGGTTTAAAAAGTTATTAACGGTTTTGTTGCAGTGCGAAACATTTTAATTTAATAAAATATTAACTTTTTAACAAATATCGATTTTTGACAATGAAATGAAGTCTTGTATTTAAGCTGCATCCCTAAAATAACCAAACAACTTTCAAAATTAAAATGGCGAACTTTTGAATAACTTTATATCTTTTAATGGTTAGTGCTTATGCTATGAAATAAATAATAAGTGTTTACGAGTTAAAAACCTATTCATTCTATTATAATTTATGTACTTTTTAAAACAGTTAACAGTTTTAAAAACTATAAACGCCTTGCGAAATGTGTATTCTTTTCCATTGACTATAAACTTGGTAAGACCAATGTTTTTCCTTTATAATGTCAAAACAAGGAAAAAGAAAAATAACCGTGGAATTACCGAAATCAAAAGACCTAGCAAATAGACCTAGTGTTTTTGAGCGTCTCGGTACTAAAAAAACTTCTAGTGCTAGTGGTAAAAAAACAAGTGAATATTGTAGGCAGTGGTCACAGCACGGCAGTTGCGCTTACGGCAAAAGTTGTAAGTTTGCTGCTACGCATACGTTAATAAGTCCATCAAAGCAACGAGCTGCAAACAAAGAGAGTGAACATAAACGTGTAGTAAAGGATGACCCTAAAAGTCGGCTACATTCAACAGTCGTAGTAAGAACAGGCCGCAGCCCTGATGGAGAAATCGATAATTGGGATCAGAATGACCTAGAATACGCCGATACTGACGTGTTGGAGAAAAGAAGACAACAATTACAACGTGAATTAGAATTGCAATTAAAAATGGATTCAAATAAAGATGTACGAAAAGATAAAAAGAAAATGGTTTCAAGTTCGTCATCATCTAGGAGTTCCAGCTCCTCGAGTGTTTCGTCATCTTCCTCTGATGGTACATCATCATCTTCTTCATCTGGCAGGTATTTTATTTGTGGTTATATTTAAAATGTTAGGTAATCTTTTTAATAAAAAACGGCAATAAGCACATATGGCAGCAAAACAGAAAAATCTATATCTATCAGATTTAATATAAAAATGCATTATATTTTATTTAGTTAAGGTATGATTTGTGTATTTAACTATATATTAATACTATTAAACAGTGTCTAGTATATAATCTGTAAGTGTATTGCATGCAAACATAATATGTTGAATTGTGCTTCAAATCTAAAATGGTGGGTTTGAATTCCAGTGGATTTTTCAGATTTACATATTTTTTACATTAAAAACTTACTCTGTCTAATTAGTACTGCATATTTTGGAATATACAATACAATATGAAAGATAACAGTGATGAATAAAATAGCATTAACTCTCTCTCTGTTTACCTCTGTATTACTTATAGGATGTCAGAGCAAAAAGAAATCACTTTTTGCTCAGTAATAGCAATTACTATGGCCTTGATCAAATGCAGCATACTGCATCAAACACATAGTATTCATTTTCACCATTTTTCAAATTAATTTTTCACTTCATATGTTTTTAATAGATTGAGAAAAATTCAACACTATAATAAAAAAAGTAAAAATTTTCTGAACCAACATTTTTATAGAAAATACTAGCTGCTGCCCGCGACTACGTCTGCGTAGAGGGGTGAAAATTTAGGGTTGTATGTATTTTTTATGCTGTGTCATAAAAAAATAGAAACAAAAAGTTTTATATAAAAAATAAAAAATTTAGGGGTGGACTACCCCCTTAACATTTAGGGGGGCGAAAAATAGATAGTAGCCGATTCTCAGACCTACTGAATGCGCATATAAAATTTGTTAAAAATCAGTCGAGCAGTTTCGGAGGAGTTCAAGTTCAAACCCCGTGACACGAGAATTTTATATATTAGATAACATTTTATTTTCACTATGAAGACATTTTTGGACTTCAGTATGTGCTAAATATAACAAAGTTCATAGTATCTATTTGCAAGTTGCACAATTCCTAATGTATAGTTGCAAAAATTTTAATCCATTGGGTAAAGGAGGATGTGGAAAGTGATTAACTAATTAACTGACTTCAAAAAGAGTATCAATTCAGATGTTTATATTTTTTTTTAAATGTGTTCGGGCATAACTTGGTCATATGTAGACTGATATGGAAAATTCATTTTTTGTTTGAAAGGGCAAACCCCTCCTGAAATGGTCCCATTTAAATTTCATATAGATCTAATGATGAGTTTCGGAGATAGGCAATGGAACTCTTCAAATAATGACAGAAAATCAACAGCGATTGCTGCTATCACATTAATATGCATTGTTTCGTGCAATAAAATTTTGAACTGCTACTTTACAGTATTCCTAAACAAATGCAAAGCAATTCAAGTTGAGTGAGTGTCAAGAGAGTTAAGTGTCAAAAGGCTACTTGACTCTTTTTTGATAAAAAAAATATTATCATATTTTTTGGGACCTACAACAGGGTAAAACTTTATTTTAAAAATGAATTTTTCCTAAACCGGTGAAAACGGCTTCCGCCATGCCTATAGATTATCTGTATTTTGACGTCATTCGTATTGTAAACCACCATTTGACATTTTTAAAATAACCTTACTTGCCAACTTAGGAATTTTCTTCCTCAATTTAGGATGAAAAAATGTAGAATGGAAGTTTTATAGGTGAAAAAAAATCTACACAGGATGACTTATTTCAACAAAAAATATAATTTAAAAGTGTTGGATGCCAGGCCAAGGCCTATGTGGTAATATTTTAAATTCTTTCGCCCTAAACTATAAAAGTGAATATTTTGTCTTAGTCAAGACGTAAAAAAAATTCTAACTAAAGATATACTAACTAAAAATATATTATTCATTAGTAACCAGTTATTTACTTATTAAGCATATTTGTTATTTTTTATAAAATGCCATAAGATGATAAAATTGTCGTCGGATATGTTTACAATATAACTTGTTATTTTAGTTTATTTAGTCTAATGATTAGTATTTAAATTTCTTAAAATATTTTATTGATTTAATGTTAAAATATTAATTTCTAAAGTAATATAAAAAAATTGGGTTCAAATTCCTACATTTTTCTTTGTTATATTTTTTGGTGATTTTCTTTTTGTAGGTATTTTTTTTTAATTTACCATATAATTTTTGTTGATTTTTTTATTTTTATAAATAATTACAACGAAATATTATTGTATTTGTTGAAAGTAGAACGCAACAGTTGGAGAACAATCTATCAGATAATAAACCAAGTTTTCATTATGTAATATTTTTAACAAGTCTTATATTGTATATTGTTTTTAATTTGTTTTTATTAAAATATTTAATTTTTCACCCTAAAATGAAAACTATTCTTTTACGAACACGAAAAATAATTGTTTTATAATTTTTGTATTTTCCACATTTTATCAAATAACAACAAAATAATTAATTGATTAACAAATTAAAATTGGAAATAGATGTATCAACCATGACGCTCGGACCAATAGGCTACACGATGTCTGCGGAAGGGAACAATATTTCGATTCTAGTATAGTATTTTTCGAGTCTATAATTGTTGTCGTTTATCGATATAAGGAATTTTATCGATAATTTTTTAAATATAATTTCATTGAGGAATTAATATAACGTAGTAAGTCTTTCACATTTAAAGGAAAAATTACAGATATAAAGTTTAAGAAAATATGTAAGATAAAAAAGTCGTATTCGTAATTTCTGCCGTGGAGACTATGAAATTGCGTAATTAAACTTTAATTCAAAATAAATAATTATTCGTTTATTTATTGTTTTGTTGTAAGAAATGTCATTTGCCTTTATTAATTTATTTGACCTTAAGATGTATTTTTAAAATAATAATTAATAACTGATAATTTAAAATAATTAATAGGAAGTTTTTCTAAAATTGTTGATTGCTTTCTCATACTTTATATTTGTTTGTTTATTATTATTCCTATAATAATATAAAAGTAAAGTACAATCATGCTCTATAAAAGATATTATAGAGATCATCTGTACACATTTTCAAAAGCCTTCCATGATACTATCGAGTGTCCTATAGCCCATCACTACACACTAGGTAATGAATGGTCTAGCGGCGCGTCGACGAAACTCCGCCGCTAAGCGGCGTTACCCCTCCTCCGCTTCCTCATACTTCACCACCCAAATAGTTAAAAATTCACTGCATACAGCGCCTTAAAACACCCCACCTAGATGGGGATAAAGCCAGAAGGATAGTGATGATTTGCTTTTAATAGTTTTACTTTTTCAGTCCTAGATTCAGTTTGATGTCGTTTTCTCCTACAAATAGCATTTTTTCTAGATCTACCCATATTTTATAATAGCCAAGTATTAAAGTTAATGTTAATTGTTAAAGTTTGATATTAAAAAGTGTACTTTAAGAACCTTTTTACAATCATTGTATGAGTTAGGTAAATATTGAATGTTATTTATCCTAATTTATTACAAAAAAAGCTTTAATCCTTAGTCATGTCACAGTTTTACAAATGTAAAATTAATGTAATACATTTCTGTACCTCAGAGTATACAATAGTAACTCCACATTTTTTAAAATTATCTTTCTTACACCATTAAAATCGCAAGAACAAATTTTACTCAATAGTATAAAGCATTAAGTGCCTAATTAAGAAAATATCCAATCATATATGACATCATAATCCATACTGCATTCAAGGATTAACTCACGCATTTTTGCCTATTCTGTAAAATTGGTGTTTTGTGACATACTGCTGTTTACCTCAGAGGTACAGATTTATAATATACATTTTGTAATCAATATAATACCTATATAAATATTAAATTAAAAAAAATATGCATCATTTATTGGAAAATTATTAGTATATCAATGTGGTAAATTTGCTGATGAAATAATTTCGCATTGTCGCTAATATTCATAATTTATCTTAAAATGTTAGAAATGTTTGATAATGTCGGACAACTTGAAATATGTATTTGTGAATTTTATTATTTAGGTATGCTTTGTCACTCTTTACTTTAACAGAGTACTCTCTCACAATACAATCTCAGTACAGTCTCAATCATTTGCATGATTTGCATGCAGTGATTACAGTTTCTTACTGATGACACATACATAAGTTAATTTATTTAATTTTAAAAATATTGTCTGGTTAAAAATGTAAATTAAATTAGTACTGATTAGAAAGAAGATAGGAGGTTCTCAATGCAACTGGCTATTTTTTTATGTTTGTTATCTCAGAATTTTTGACAGAGTGAACCGATTTTGATGATTCTTTTTTTATTTGAAAGCTGGTGCTTCTCATGTGGTCCCATATGAATTTCATTGGTATTGAATTTTGAGCTCCGGAGATATTTAGGGAACTCCTGAAAATCTGTTATAAAAATGAATACAGAGCGAGATATTTGAAGTTGGTTTTGTTTGTCGTTAATAAAAAAAATGTAATGGATAACAAGTTGCAACGGTTTTGCTATAAAAGTAAAAAAAAAAAAGAATATGAAAGTGTTCAATTACGAAAATTTTGATTACAGCATGATAAAAGTCTGTAAGTTAAAATACTTAAAAGTAGTTTACACATGGTACATACACTCAATGGGTGTGTTATTTGCCTATATGATGATTAATACTGCAAGTGCTCTTTACATGCGGGCCTGCGCGTGAGTTCGATTTGAATGTGTGTGAGTGTATGTTTGCATGTACATATATAAAGAAAAAATTAAGTATTCCTTCGTTGTCATCCTAATTAAATTTTTAGTTATACTATCATGTTTTTAGTTTTACGAATTTGGAAATTGAACATTTATTTTCATTTTATTTTTGTCTTCAGTTTTGTTTATACATACTGTGTGTATGGTACTGTATATGTAAAATGTTTTAGTTGCTTTCCGTGGAGGTAGAATAATATTTTTCCTTTTTATTATTTTCTAGAGATGCTAAGAGAAAAATTAAGAAAGGTAAACTTATGAGAAATTCTAGTTCTTCATCAGATGGTGAGGCACCATCTAAGAAGAAATTACTTAAATCTGATACAATAAAAAGAGAAAAAAGTGAATCTAAGAAACCTACTCCGAAAAAAGACGAAAGAGTTTTAAAGAAAAACGATGTTAATAAAAAGAAACCTCTCACAAAAGTAGCACTTGGCAAAAAATCCCTTTCACCAGGAAAAAAATCAGGTGGTACGCCACCAATTACATCCAAAAGTCTAGTCTCTAAAAGTGTTACAAAACATACAAAATCACCTCAAAGAAGGGAAAGAAACAAAACTGCTTCGCCTCATTCAACTAGGGAACGAGATAAAGATAGGGAACGAAATAAAGAAAAAGAAAGAGATAAAGATAGAGAAAAGGAGCGTGAAAAAGAAAGAGAACGAACTAGAGGAAGAAGTAGATCCCCTAAAAAGGTTAGATCTCGATCGCCTCGTCGGCATGGTTCTCATCCAAAAGATCCTAGGAGAAAAGATAGCTCTGAAAGAAGTAGACCTGTATCGCCAAAAAAACAGATAAGGAGGGATGGAAGTACTGAAAGGCATAGAAAAAGGTCTTTGAGTAGAGAAAGAGAAAGAACCCGTGATCATAAGGACAGATCGTTAGAAAGAAGAAAAGATAAACATGATGAAAAAGATAGACACGATCGAAAGGATAGAGGACGAGACAGAAATAAAGACATTAAACGAGATGATAATAAACGAAGGGGTCGTGATAGAGGCTTAGGCGGCAGGGGTGGCTCTGATAAGGGTTTGGAGAAGCCAAATAAACCTATGGAGAGGCTTTTACCTAGACCTGAAGAACGTTTGGCTGCGCTTGCAGCAATTTCCAATAGGACATTAGAAAGTGACAAAAATTCTACAACTTCTAAGGATCGGCAAGATACTCATTCTGATAGAGGTGGCAGGAAACAGGACAGGCTCGAAAGAGATCGTTCTACTAAAAGGGATAGATTGGATAGTCTTGAAAGGGAACCTGTTGAATATGACATAGGGATTGAACGACAATACGATCACGGCCATAATATGGAACATTACGATAGAATAGACGACCGTTTTGACGGTGTTCCTAGAGAAGATGAAAGGTCCCCTGGTTATATACAAGGTAGAGAAAGACACTATGATCCTGGGTATGATATGTCTGGACCCCCTCGGGGTTATCCGGAGGATGAAGATAGAATGTACGGTGAACCTATGGCTGACCACCGAGTCGACATAGGTAGGTATATGAAAAAAAACCTTATAAAAATATATTTTGATTAAAAATGTATTTATGGCTAGTCTTATTTATCAAAGATTGATCATAAATCTTAGATAAAGCTTAATATTAAAAAAATGCTGACAACACATAATGACATTATTAGTCGTATAAGTTTTAACACGCGTAGTGTCTCCCGAGTACATCTAATTGCGCGTTGACTAGTTTAAGAGCATTTATAGAAAATATTGAGTCAAATCAATTGTTCCACTTCGCCTGCTTTTTAAGTAAATAAAATGCCTTAGTTAGAGAGAAATAAGGTCGATTGTAGTTAGAGCATCCAAAAGACACATACGTCTTGATATACTAAGAGTATTAAGAGTTCAAATTATTAAATAAACGATCTTATTAGCTGTTATAAGGTCGATTGTTATTTGGCATTAATATCCATCTCACTCACAAACTTTTGTCGAACTCTTCTTGTTAGGTAACGAGTATAGAGTACCAAATGCGATGCTTTCTGGATAATTAGTTTGCGTTATTGTGTGCCGACTTGCAAATTCTTCTAAATACTCGATACGCGTTTATACTCTATTGTGATACTTAGTCCTTCCTGTGGTGGGGCCCCGCAATAGTATTCGCTGTTGCACGAATCCCCCGTGTGTTCGTGTCCACAAAACTCTAAAACCTAGCTGCTGGGAACCAGGAGTGTTTTCATGTTCTTTCTATTTCGAATTTCCAACGGAAATACAAAAAAGCCATTGAGAAGCATAGCCGATTTCAGGTAGTTTTGTAATATTTTATATTTTAGGCTATGATGATCGTCGGCCACATCGTGATCACTCTTGGGAAGGGCGATCAGGTTCCATAGATCGCGAACGGGGATATATACATCCTCATAAGGATTGGGATACTGAAGATTATCGTGGGCCAGGAGATTGGGTTAGGGAGAGGCATTGGCCTCTACATGATCCCCAGGTATTTTTCGAGACATTTTTATACTTGTACTCGATTTTTTTTGTTTATACCCACCTCTTTTCTGTCGTAGGCAAATGTTTGCTACAAAACACAGTACCAGTATGAGCTTATCGACTATCGCAAAAGGAAATATTCTTGTCCTATCCTTTCCCACATATTCCTTGGCTGTCCTTATCCTCACATTGGTATGCATATTAAAATTGTATTCTAATAATGTTCTTAGTGTATATATGTATATAGTGTATGTATATTAGACAAATTTGTGTTGGAATGACGCATAAAAAAAAAACATTATTTTAGATGCCTGATTGGGGCGATAAAGATGCCGATATGGAGAGTTGGCACCATCGCGGCCATCCCTCTGGCCCTCTTCGAGGCCGTGTGCATGGTTAGAAATGAAAATAATATTTAATATGAACGATTTTGTACAGTAACATTCTATATAAAAAGCTCTGTATCGTTTTAGATGATTATAACCGTGGGATGCGAATGGATCTTGGCAGAAACGATGTCAGTAAACGCCGCGGTCCTAGAAATGAACCTGAAACCGTAGTTAAAGAAACTCCACCACCAGTACAGCCAGCACCTGCAGCTCCGCCTCCAGAAGAAGTAGATGTTGAAGAGAAGGCTGTGCCAGATGATTTAAGTGAAATAAGTGATGATCCAGATGATATTTTAGAAAGGGAAGATGTAAGTATGTTAAAATTTACAAAACTATTGTTAAAATTGTTATTTCGCAATTTCGTTATGTAATGAAATGTAGTTAAGAGAAGTATTATTTTATTTTTTAGTTAGTTTAATGTGTTCGAAGTCCCGCATGAAAAATGTCACGAGTTTTATTTAATGGTAATGTTTAAATATTGTTCTTATTTACGACATTATGATATACCCGTTTTATATTTAGATGATAGATCAAAATATGGATGAAGACAGTCGAGTAGAACCACTGAATGACGAAGTTACTTCCAAACCAGATGGCTCTGAAAAGGAATCTACACAGGTAAAATTCATCTCTTTAGATTCATGCAGATGTAAAAATAAATATACAAGCAATAACATGTTCAACTATTATTTAGGACACTAGCGGCGCTGGTGAAGAAAAGGAATCACATGAAGGTAAAGATGACGAAGATGTGGCCAACTTAGATTTCGAAGAGATATCAGATGGAGAGCTTGAAGAAGAGAGAACAAGAGGTAATTACAATGTCTGATTAAAGATTTAGATTAAACTTTCTCCATTGGTTAGTTTTAATTTATGTATATTATTTTTAATTAGCAATTTTTACACTCGTACTTTTTATTACTTCTCGTACTTATTATAATCATGATCTCATATTTTATTATAACTATTTTAAGCTGGACTAGGGGACGCATTAGGCGTGGACTGGGCAAGTTTGGTTGCTGATGCGCGGCGTCGAGAACAAGTTCCTTCTACTGGTGGTGCACGTGACCGTTGGCGACCAGAAAGAGTTTTAGCTCGCCTAGGGTTGTCTTTACAAATGGCTGGCAAGGACACAGTTCAGAACATATTAAATAAAAATGCCGAGACTCCTCAAAAAGAGGATGATAAAATTGCATCAAATGTTGAGAAAGATAAAACTATAAATCAGAATGGCGAATGTGAAAAAACTGAAAAACAAATTGTTTTGCCTGACGTTAATTCTTTACACCCAGTTGCTTCAATACAGGTGGGAATATTTCTTTATAATAACCTTTGATTTAATGTTTGGCGACTTTTAACACTATAATCTGATAGTGTTAAAAGTTATCTGGCTGCATCGCCACTTACAATCAGGTGGGATGGCAGTCAAGTGCAGGCCAGTTTTGAATTAAAAAAAATATATATATTTTTTTGTAATCGTCCGGGGAAGTACCATGGCCTCACTGAAGACTGGCTGGAGTAGAAGTATTAGTCTTTCGCGTTTAGTTAGGTGAGTGATGGAAACCTGGGCCCACTCTTTTAAAGGTTGTCAACGCATCTCAAATCGGGTGTTGTAGATGTTCATTTAATATCAGAACAGCCTGCTTGCTGGAGAACTTTTCACACAAAAAAAAACAGAAGTTTAAGCATTTGATTATAAGATTTATAATTTTAAATTATATTTTGTATTAGGTTGCCATGGAAAAAAGGAAGCGACAGCGAGCTGTTCTATTTGGATCTGGTTGTGAAATAACGCGAGGATTAAGCGCAAGACGTGATTTAGCTTTACGAAGATACTTATGTCATCTACCTATAGCAGAACGTACTGGGCAGTCTCGTGTTGCGCCACAACCTTCACTGTTCCATGCTGCACAAGCTTTATTGATGCGAGAACCTGTAATTGGCTGACAGAGATCAAATACAAATTAATTGTGTAGTGTGTGTTAATGAACATAAAGTATATTTGAAGTATAAGTGGTTCGAAAATGTGATTATTGATCAAAACATGAAAATTACTATATTAAACATTTGATGGCTAACATTTAAGTGTTGTGGTGTGGTTAAAACAAATATAATAGTGATTATATAGGTCTTCAATTTATCTTTCATGCAGCAAAAAAAGGTATAACTGTCAGACTGCTAAGAATGATTAATTATAGTAACAGAAGCGGAGTGATAAAATAAGATTTTTTTATAATTTGAAGTCTATTTTATTTTCTTACTTTGATGCACAATATGGCATTAACAGGTTAAAAATGTAAGTTGCTTATATTGTAATCTTTATTCTTCAAATAAAAATGACACATTGTCACCTACACAATACTCTGTTTTTTTCTGTCCCCTGAAACATATGTTATATTGATAAAGTTGCTGAAATTTATAATTATTTTAATTTCATTAAGGATTACTTACTTTTTGAACAATACTGCACCAGCAACTCCTTTTATTGTTAATGAATTACCATCTATATGTAGAATAGAGCCTTCTCTTAAGCCTAAAACTGCTTTAGCATATGGCATGTCAATAAATTCATTAATTCTCTGATCTCTTGTTTCACCTTTATGAGTTTCATTTTCATTCTTGTCAATATAGTGTGGATTAATATTAAATGGCACTAACCCTATAGCTTGAAAAGATGGTGGATAAATTATAGGCATATCATTTGTTGTATGAATACTATTTGTAGCCACATTTGTGCCAGCACTACTACCTATATAAGCTAATTCGCCATTGCAAACTCTGTCCCTAATAAGATTAACTAAATTCTCTGAATATAATCTTTCAAGGAGCAAAAATGTGTTCCCACCCCCAATAAAGATCGCCTTAGCACAGCTAACAGCTTTAAAGGAATCTGGGTATGTATGCAAACCTGTCACGGAGAAACCCCATGGATCAATAATATCTTTTATTTTTTTGGTGTACTCATTAAAATTGTTTTGTGCATAAGGAATAAATACTAATTCATTGATGCTGTTCCTGGAATAAAAAACAGAAAATGTGATTTGCTTCATTTTTAATTTTAAAACCTTAAATAGATATTTTTGCTTGCATTGAGTCTTATTTTGGAACTTGTATATACTATAACAAGTAAAGCATAGTAGAGAGTATAAAGTAAAACATTATTTTTTAATTTCAGCACTAATGCAAGAAAAAGATTTGACAATCTTATCTTGCCTAAGCAACAATTGTAATATGAGACAAATTTAAAATTTTGTAATGTGTTTACTTACATTTTGTAATGTGTTTTTATTTAAAAAGTTTAATCATGTAATTATGTGTATATAAAGTAAAAAAAAAGTGTGCATGTACTTTTATGTACCTACATGCGTTAAAAGTTATCCTTCTTTGGCGTAACAAAATATATAGATAAAAATCTTATCAAAAATTTTATCTTTCCCCTTATTCTACGTTTGTAGAAAAAACGACACTAACAATAGAAAAAAGGTTTTTTAATTCTATCACACCAAATATACGAAAAACCATAAAAGTTTTATCATAACGCATTATCTAGTTGAATAAAGTTTATTTAAATATCACAAAATAAATATCGTGAATACACAGTTGTCAATTCTCACACAAACATATGTAGATGTCTATTGTCTAGCTTAGTTTAGGGAGTCAGTTTTTCGCGACGGTGTGCGCGCGCATCGTAAAAAACTCATCATTTTTCTCTAACGCGCCAAAACAAGTATAACTACAAAAATATTATTAACTACTTACTTATTAAGAAAAGCGCAGATTTCCTTTTTAGCAAACTCCAACATTGAATATCCATGACAATTGGATGAAGAAAGTAATAATGCTTGCCTGCCAGACATTTCTATAATCGCAGTTTTCTTTTTGTTCGGTGTACAATTTTTAATTATAGGTAACTTAAATGAAGTAACTACATAAAAACTCTGATACTATTAGGTATGAAAAGAAATTTTATCGCTGTTTGTTGATAGCAAAAAAATCGTTATTAATCGGACGTGTAAATAAAATTAATATAATACAATTATCAATGATATATAATAGGTACAAGGTTGAATAAAACAGAGACAGACTGTTATTGATTAAAGTTTCTTATAGTGATGGCTTTTGTATAGTATTTAATACATCATAGTCATACTCAAAAGTTCCTCCAATTAGACATTATACATGACGTGACAGCTAGTTAGAGACAGTGAGGGCGGCGTATTTATCCGTTTATCGTAACAGGTATCATAGGGTAACAGACGGTCTGTATCCGTTACGAAAAACCTTAAATAACAGTTCTTGTTCCACATCCACACAGTGTTCCTTAATACGCTGAATGCTGATACACTGACACAAGCTTTTCTAGCGTAGCGTTATTTGATTCGAGTAACTCGAATCAAACCATAAACGAGTCACCTCGGGTTGAGTTTTAATCAACCGAATGCAGACCAGACAGACCGAATGAAATACCGCGTTGGCGTATTTGATTTTTGATTGACATTCTGAATGAATGCATGAATGAATGAATATTTATTTAGTTTCAACAACAAACACAGGTATGTTAACAATTAAAAAAATATATATCTAAGACATGAAACCAAATAGGATTTCCCGATTTTCAGTACATACCAATAATTAAAATTGTAATAACAAGCTAGACTAAGATTAACACAAAGCGGGTACATTAATTCAAGTACAATAACACAATACCTACTGATTATAACACAAATATGGTACATTATGCTAAAGACAGTAACACAATAACGACTAATGAAAATTAACATCTACAGCGTGTCGTTACCATCGCGACAATAAATGAACACACGTCTAATATATCCTTAGGTTTAGATGAAAGGTATACTTGAATGTCATCAGCATATATATGGTATTGGCAGAATGTAAAACAGTTAACAATATCGGCGCTATACAGAATAAATAATAGTGACCAAGTATTGAACCTGTGCCACACACCACGAGTTGTGAATTATGCAAATAAAGTGGTTAATTTTCATAATTTTATCATATTTACAAAATTATTTGGTGATTATGCATAATTAGCGGTTATTTCATATAATCATCGGAAGAATCACACTTACCGTAACATATACACATAAACAACTAACGAAAACAGCTGTTACAGTACATAGTTACTCTATGGTAACAGTTACACACCTGTCACAACATAGTATGAAATAACAGGCTGTTATTTTGTAACGGGTATTTGTAATTGTTATGGTCAAGTAACAGGGACAGGCGTAAGAATTACTCGATGTTACCTAGTCTCACTCGTAGTGACAGCACACATTTACACGTTTCGTTCATCATAACGCTCTCACATATTTCGTACCATTATCTATAAAAACGCCAAAAAATCATGTTTGTTGTATGGAAGCCCCATTTAAATATTTTATATTCTGTTTTTTAGTATTTGCTGTCATAGCGGCAACAGAGATATATCATCTGTGAAAATTTCAAGTGTCTTACTTCATGGTTTACGAGATACATACAGCCTATTGACAGACGAACAGACAGACAGCGGAGTCATATTAATAGGGTCCCGTTGTACCCTTTCAGTACGCTTAGATTTACGCAATGATTAAAGGGGAGCATGTTGCATTGAAAGTTCAAAAACTGAGTCAGATCATTTGAAAAGTTTTTAAGATGCGACATTTTAATATCTCCGATCAGATTAATTTCTTTGATTACTTACGACTACAATTCAGTCTTTATGGGGAACCCCATCAGTAAGAAAATTTAACTTTTAGTACTCGCTATGATTTTAGTATCAAGTTTAATTCTTACTGGTACCTACTCATATACAACGTTACATACGTTTTATAAGAGTACGATACATTACATACGTTCATACGTATATATTGAAATGGTACTCATATCATACCAATATATATATATATATATATATATATATATATATATATATATATATATATATATATATATATATATATATATAATAGTAATTAATGTGCTTTAATGAAATAAAGACGAAATTGCGTTTTCTGAAATAACAAATTTTCTTTTATTGATAACATAATTAAATACAAAGTTTTGACAATTTGCATATTCTAAACAAAGTAACTTACCTGAAATAACAAAAAACAACATTTAAAGCCTTTACTTCTACTTTAGTTTATGTAGTCCCTTTTTATTATACAGGAAACTATTTACTCTTGCACTTTTTCTCAAATGACATAAGCTAACGTAATTCATTTAAAATTTTCATCAATATCATTGACATGACATCTGTAGACAATAAATCCATAAAGAAAAAGAACGACGCAACTACGCATGATTTTCTTTACATATATATATATATATATATATATATATATATATATAAAAGAATTGCTCGGATAAAGAATAAGAGATATATACAACAAGAGCTTAGAATAAGCCTTTATTGAATAAAAAACATGATTTTGACTATGAAGTACATATTTTTAGTTAATTACACAGAAAAAAAGAAAACCGAACTGGGGAGTAACGATGACTTTACTGCTTACGACATTAGTTTTGTATTTTACTCTCTATTTCCGGAGGTGCATCCGTGTCTCTATCTGTATTTTATAAAGTACACAAATTAAAATATTAGGAAACTAATGAAGCATACTAATAAAAATCGAAGATATATTGCAGTATGTACATGATATGAAATGTCTTGAAATTTGGTAACTTTAGAGATGTAGGTAGGTACTTGGTACACCATTTTTAATATTGTAAAATTATTTACTTTAAATTGCCAAGAAAAACAATGAATTGAATTGTTTCGACGTAAAAGTAGTTTCGTAAAATTTGAAAGGCACACGACGGTATTTTATTATTATAAAATTGTTGACACTGCCTTCTTACTCGTCGCCTTGCCTAACCTGAATTAAAGACGAGATCAGTTGGGACGTTTTTACGGTTTCACTTTGGATGCGTTGATAACATGTCTGTAGTATAAAATATCCTTGCAATTCTCTGTTTAAAGCGATCAGCTTTTGAAGAGATTTTTTTTTATGTGAGAAGGTGACAAACGAGTTGGCGGTTCACCTGATATTAAGTGATAACTACCGCCCATTAACATTTGTAACACCACCCGTAGCATTGTAGACGTGTTGTCACCTTTTAATAAAGTGGGCCCTAAGTACCTCATTCACCAGACGAAACGCAGAAGTGTACCACTTCCATTTCACGCCGGTCTTCTATGAGGTCGTGGTACTTAACCCTAAGGACCTACTCATTCGTGGAACATTTCCATCTGTTTTAGTCTCTTCAAAATCACAAAAAAAAGTCTTGAATTTGTAAATAAAATATGAATAATTATATAAAATATTTTTCTTTTTGATTGCATAGTTTTATTATTCCATTTTACACTTCTCCACTAATACTTTCTGCAATGGAAAGGTAAATAAATAAACTAATAAGTCTTATTTTAATGTTTACTCTGTTATACATTCTGTTTTTTAAGAATTGAGCATATAATATTCATAGAATGTAAATTTCTACATATAGTGGCTCGATCATCCGAGAGGAAGGTATTTGAAATTTCGCAATCTATTTTTGTAATGTAAATAATTTCATTGTTGTTTACGCTTTCACTATAAGCTCAAGGTAAATTAGTACCAACAGCGAACAGACGTCATGATATTAAAACTATTTTTTTTTCTAAATTAAATCTTTGCCTTATAAGTACTTTACGGTAAATATGAGCCAATCTTATTTGGATATTAAGTACGTAAATCGATGTTATTGTCTGACGTATCGAGAATGAAAAATCTTTCTTCGTGAGATTTATTACAGCCTGGTCCCAGATACTGATGTCTTAGTTCCAAATCTGCTGGTGCCGATATATCTCCTTGAAGTATGTTATATGCTTGATCTATAGTGCTTTCAATTTCTGACCTCAGCTCCTGAAAGAATAAATTGAATTGACCATGTAATATCCCACGTTTTTACATACAATTCTTTTGTGTCTATCTCTTATAACATAACTAGGATCCCGACACGGTAATTTAAGGCGCTGTATGCAGTAAAAATAGGTTTTTCAAAAGATTTTTTTAACAAAATCTACACATTTTATAGCAGCAAAAAAAATATACCTTAAACTCGCGCGCTGCGCGCCGCTAAGCGGCGTTACCCCTCCTCCGCTTCCTCATACTTCACCACCCAAATAGTTAAAAATTCACTGCATACAGCGCCTTAAGAGCCTTTAATGAAAAGAAGAATTGTCGGTACTAATTTCGAAATAAAAAAAGACGACCGCTAAGTTATGACTTTGTCCTTAAGACATATACTTGGGACTGCGTACACTCAATACAGCTTGATGTAAGGGACGCATATGCCCTTTTTATTGTTGGTTGTACGTAGTAAAATAATTGTTAAAACATACCAACAATACATATATGGGAATCTCTTTGTCTGTATTTACGACGCGTAATTGTGGCGCGAAATCGACAAGCGCGTGACCGCGTGGTCACGGGTGTTTGGTATTTGCTGTCTTTGTAATATGGGCAAATAAGGCGAATACATAACATCCGCATGTGGTGATTGTTTGTAAACTAAGCCGAGCATGCGAATGGACGGTGCTTCTGTGCTTGCTTTGTTTCAAGGACCTCTGTGTGTACGTAGCACGAAGCGCATAGTGCTTACGTCATATAGGTTGAAGCACTAGTGCTTACGTCATATAGGTCTGGCGAGCGGCGGGCGCGTTCTGCCAGCGCGGCGTGAAGGTGGTAAAGCATGAGGGCGCGGAGGTGCGCGTCGCCCGCGCCCAGGGCTGCCACCGTGCGCAGGATGCCGCGGCACAGGTTCTCTTTCAGCGCCAGACGAGATTCCGACAGCTCTGCGAAGTGTTTTGACACCCTTAATTATATTCTGTTTTGACCGTGTTCTGTTTAGTTTGTGAATCTATTACTTACTCGCCGAAATGAATTTCTTACTCAATTTGTAATTAATAGACATAAGACATAGACATAAACTTTATTTTGACAAGCAACAAACAGCACAAAAAATTCAAAAAATAAATTACATCAACATAACATATTGATAAATAAAAACATAACATGGTTTCAACAAAAAAAGCAAGTTAAAAAAAGAAAAAAAATAAGTACACAAAGTTACAAATATAAAAATTATTAATAAAGAAACAAAAAAGACATATAGATAATAGAAACCTTTGAAGGAAAAAAATGCATAGTGTATATGTAATTAGGAATGAATTGTGCTGTGTGTTTATGTCAAAAAAGGTCTCCACTCAGCAAAAAATACGGAGAGTTCCGCAATGCTGGTATTCTGTGCCATTTCGATGCTAGGAATGTGAGGAATGTGCGGGTAGATGCGCAAACTTGTGAACATATTACCAGAATAAAATAAACAAAATAATACAAAAATAAAAGAAAAAAAATTAAATAATAATAAAAATAAATTGCGCAACACTGTTAGAATTTCTGGCAAATAATGACCAACAGAAAGAAAGCAATGCAAGTAAAAATTATTAGCAATAATATTGATTAAAAAAAAAGACAAACAAACAAAAGGACTTTATATACACATAAATACAACTATATTAGTGCCACGGGGGTTATTAGGGACGCATTAAACATTTTGCGTTAAGTATGCGGGCAATACTCGTCTAGAAGCTGGTAAGCATTTTTGGAAAGACAAAAGATGTTGTTTCGATTTGAATTTAAAATCACTTAAATTTTTTATAACCCTTATAGGCGGTGGTATATTGTTCCAGCATTTAGACGCGGCGTACTTAAAACTTCCTCTGAAGAAAGCGGAGCGGTGTTTTGGGATCCTAAGTATCATCTTTTTAGTTGCCCTAAATCAATCAGTTGACAACCAATCAAGTTTTTGAAAAAGGTACTTAGGTCGGCCAGTTTTGATAATCCCAAATGAAAACAATATGATAATATTCATTTATTGAAGATTGTCCGATTTAGAACTGTAGACCGTACATCTTTAAAAGCGGTTACATACACAAACAACAAATTAGTTGCTATGAGATAAAAATTGAACTTTGCACACAAAACTCTGACTGTCATTAATGTAATTTTTAAGTATACGTTACTGTGAATGGATTTAATACAGTTGTATTAGGCCTATAGAATGTATCCATGATAGATTTCAAATAACGTTCAAAAAGTAATGTAATAAAAACGACTGATTAGTTTAATTAGCAATGCGCTGGTTATCTATACATATTTACAGTATAACCAGGGCACCAGTAAATGTATACAATTTACAATGATGCTGTTGCTAATTGTTTAACGTTATGAGCATTTTTACCACTATAGAAAATACTTGAGAAATACACATGTCATTAGCGTCGTTGTATCACAATCACTTGTACAGTTTTCATCACTATTTGCCTCGGGCCAAAATAATCTCACAACTGAGGCAGAACTGACTCTGCTCAGTGTTACCGATTTATGCTTTTGCAGTATACAAATATTCTGAATATATTGATCATTATACTAGTCATCATTACTAACGGTACGGGCACGCAGATCCATCTGGTGACGACGTGCGGTCGGGCGTTCCTTGCCGCGGCGCCCATGTCAACAGAGACCAATAGAACAACTGCCGTACGAGAAATAATTGCCTCCGATTTTATTCAACACGCATGGACTACCCGTCGCGGCCGTTGCCGGCTTCTCACTTAAGCAACGATGCAAGTAAATTCTCTTTAATATTAATACAAGGTCTCGCGAGCGAATTATGGACTTCCGTTCCTCTGTTCACGTTTGCGCATTTGTGGAAATGCGCAGTTTCATGACGACGCGGTGGAACGCAGTCGCTGAACTATTTTCGTTTGGAGTGTTTTATGAACGTTGTTTGTTATACGATAATCACGTGTGAGACGGGAGCCAATTATTATGAATAAGCGATTCGCTTTGTTACGAAAGTTTCGTTACCGTCACGTTAAATGGAAACTTCGATATTTAATTTAGGTTAATGGGCTACTTTTGTTCTTTCTCAACGCTGCTTAACCGCTTTGTCCAATGTTAAACTACTGTAAACATTATTTCAAGACAGAATTTAATTTCAAAGGGTTCCAGTCTTGAAAGATTGTTTACAAATTTTTCCTATTCTTCTATGACTTGGGGAATCCCGCTATGTTTGGGGTAGCTTACTCGTAGCAAGTACTTGCAACGAGCTATTAAATATTTTTGAATACGATACAAATATAATGTACGAAATAAATATATTGTATTATTAAAATATGTAGAAAAAGTGCGAAAAGATTGTCGCCGCTGTGGGAATCGAGCCCACGTCTTCGGCATTCGCGGCCTGACGCTCTAGCCACTGAGCTAAACGGCTGATTACCACACCGACGAAAATCTTAACGCATTCTTCCACATTGTTTTCTTAGCATTTGAAGCAATGCTTGGCGCCATCTATTGTTATATCCTTTCCAGCATACAAACAACTTCGAATATCGTTTTACAACGATAATTCGAACGAGAGATGTCGCCATTGCTTTTTTAGAAATTTAAATTGTTTATAGTGCTAATCTTTGCACTTAAGATTGAGCATTAAAATATGTAGAAAAAGTGCGAAAAGATTGTCGCCGCTGTGGGAATCGAACCCACGTCTTCGGCATTCGCGGCCTGACGCTCTAGCCACTGAGCTAAACGGCTGATTACCACACCGACGAAAATCTTAACGCATTCTTCCACATTGTTTTCTTAACATTTGAAGCAATGCTTGGCGCCATCTATTGTTATATCCTTTCCAGCATACAAACAACTTCGAATATCGTTTTACAACGATAATTCGAACGAGAGATTTCGCCATTGCTTTTTTAGAAATTTAAATTGTTTATAGTGCTAATCTTTGCACTTAAGAGTGCTAATTTTCGCACTTTTTCTACATATTTTAATGTTCAATCTTAAGTGCAAAGATTAGCACTATAAACAATTTAAATTTCTAAAAATATATTGTAGTTCATTACGGTATGAAAACCATTGTTTTAAATTAATTTTTCATTAGCAATTTATTTTGTTTTATGTATAAGTGTTGTCTATATCACTGAATTGTAAACTTATAAAAAATATAATTTTTTATTAAAAAATTTATCTCTTTGCTTCATGCACTAGAAACGGGATGTTTTTTAATTTTCGTAACTAGTCACGCTCTGCAAACACTGTTGCCCGATTGCATTTAAGTGATGTATTTTGATTTGAATTAGGAACACAATCACGGCGGCAACTTGCACATCAGTTATTTAATTAAAAGTCTTAAAATAAATTGCGTCTGTGGAGCTGCTGTGCTTCACGGTGGAGGCTTATTAAACAACGTTTGTAATCCAAGGAATCCAACCGATGACAATGATTTAATTATTTGTATTTAACAATATCAAGAAAAGGTTAACATTTCTACAATATACAATTGTAATTGTTGTTTCGGTAGAAGAACTAAGAAAGCGTTATGGAAAAGAAATGTGTTATATATTGAGTATCGCTAATTATGGTCATGTAACATTTGTCCTAATTGTTTTAAATTTAGGTAAATTTTACAACACAATATTTATAATATAAACCTTGGCATAGTAAGAACCACAATATGTCCTAGAAACATAAGACGACTAGGGATGGGATTGTCTATAGTTCATAATTTATATTTAACACGTCTGGTAACAATATTCTCTCACTTCTAATATAACTATCAGATTTCTTTTTTATCTGGTTATTATTTATTTATTTTTTGATTCTATCTATATCATAGTACGTCATTGTCTTATATTTGTGGTGGTTACATTCATATTATATACACACATATTATTTTAAATTAAATCGGTCATTTCAAAAACCTCATAAGTCACACAATTAGAGTTTTTCAATACTCAATAACAACTGTTTCAAGCGCAATAAAATTATTTTATTATGCAATAATATGCTTAATAATAAAAATGATTTCTTAAATCAAATTAATACATATAAATTATTCTTACCTATGAATGATGTGTATGACGAGACATATAGACAAAAAATGTTATTTATTTCTTTAATAGTATGCTGCCTCATTTGCTTTAATGTTAGTGATATTAGCTTAAAGCTATACAACACGTAACGTTTTAACTTTTTCCAGAATACCCTTTAGTTTCGTTTCTTCGTTGAATCCAAGTTTGAAAGCCCATCTTAAATGCAAGTCAATAAATATATGACTGGATTGGGGCAAAAAGGATTCCAATCGTTTTAATACCTTATCATCTAGATTAATGCTCTCTTCTTCATATAATATTTTCACAAGACTTCCGACAATACAATGAATAGAATTAATCTTTTTTGCAGACACTTCGGCGTGGCAAGTGTCACAAAGCCATTGTGATATTGGATTTAATGGATTAACTGGCAAAATTTCACCCAAGCAATCTTCGTGAAAACAATTTATTGCTGACAATTTCGTTCCCATTTCCGAAGGATCGCTACATCGGCTACATCGGCACCAAAAACACTTGGATTTGTATAATTGGTAACGCCTGACTGGAGTACACCATAAAAGGCTAGTGTAACAGCTGAAAATCTCCTCTCCGACGTCAATATCGCGCGATGCGTAAACCTCCATTGTTTTATTTTTTTTAAATACATTTCTTGTGTTAGGAACACAGCTGTGGTTCAGAAAAGCCGCTAATGGAAACAATCCACGCAAGGGTATCGCTTTTTCTTCACTGCTTGACGGAATTCTGAACGTGTTTATTTTTAGAATCGAGTTCACGGTTTTCATATATTCGACGTGCTCGTCCGGCACAGCAAAGCTTGAGCAAAGGCGTTCCAAATCTTTAAACACGCTAAGGCAACCGTGTTGTAAACTGAGCAGTAGTTGCTTCTGTTCGATTGTAGAAAGGAATAATTGTGTATAAATACGGATGCGTCCGAGGACAAGGGCAATGCTTTTAGGGCTTGACTTCGGTTTCCAATGGGTAGTGATGAATTTGCATTCCATTGGATGCACGCGCGATAAATTGCAATTTTGCAAGCACATTGTTTGCCCGCATTTCTCGCAATTTATAAATTTACAACTTGTTTTATAGCAGTACGCGCAGAAAGTTATATCGATATCACTGTCTCTTGGTCCCATGGCAATAGGTGTATTCCTGAATATTAAATGTCCTTTGTCAATTTTCCTACGAGCAAACAATCCTCTTCCTCCAACGTTAGATTCCTGCACAATCCATGCAGGGTCTTTTTGATCGAGATAAACGGTGTCTAGGATTGTCTGAACGTTCGATTTCGTATATTCTTGTTCTTGCGCACTTGGGTATTTAGATTTGTCGGTAGGGATCGACATGGTAGTATGTTAACGCGTCGGAACTAAATGTCAGCTTGACCAGACTTCACGTCGATGTGTATAACCCGGTATGAAAATAGCGACTGGAACTACTAAAATCTAATCTGATTCATGGATTCGTTTTGCATGTCGATTCTGACGCAATGCGCGTTCAGCATACTGTGTGTTTAGGTTTACGAGTATACGCGCAAGGCGTGATGTACTCAACTTCACGCCTTGCGCTATTTGCACACATTACACAGACTCGGTAGGGACGTGTAAGCATATTTTTTATTTTAACATGAGATGAATTAAATTAATGAATTAAAAATGCTGAATTGCTTTTGAGTCATTAAAGCCTAATTCTTTAACGCGAAAGCGATAACAAATAGTATATAAGTATTATTGGTTTTCGCTTGCGGCGTCAAGCGAAACATAATAAATATAATAAAAGAAAGTAAATATTTATAAATTAACTACGTGTATGGTATGGATTGCAATAAATATATAACTAGTACTATTAGGGTATTCATTGCCAAGAAAAATGTTTTCAAATGTTGCAGAGGGCAAACATACAAATCAAAATTCTTTATTTGGCATACGCAGAATAACTCACCTAAGTTCTATTATAATTGAACTATTGATTTACAATAAACACACGAATATTATTTTTTATATTTTCGACAAGAAGATGTTTAATTGCCTTAATTTTTTGCCAGGCGTATTGTATAAAGAAAATCAAAAAGCAAAAATCGATGCAATAATATTTTTATTTCTAAGATATTAAATAAATAATTAATTCTTAACTGTTTTTTTGGTATTTCAATTAGGAGAGTCATAATGATTTAATGAATGCGTCGCCAATCACCCCGGTCGGTGACTGGTTTCGCAAATGAAGAATTGACGGTAATCACAAAAAGAGTCTACTTGGGCCTGCCCCGTAGCCAACTTCCACATTCAAATGACCCGACCTCATCCAAGCAAGAACCTAGGGCTTATCACATTATACGCCCAATCGATCACTTGAGAAAAGAAGGTAAAGTACCTAGGAGTCACTTTAGTCTCCACAATGAAATTAGTCATATATACTAAGAACATAAAAGATATAACGTAGCCAATCTCTATAGTAAAATGTTCGTTTGTTATACAAAGCTTGTGTACAACTCATAAAGTCCTACGCTTTTATGTCCTTTGCTCACCTAAACCCTCATAGATCCGATCGAGGAACGGGACTTAGTGAGGACTCCGAGGGTCCCGCTACCAACCTTGTACCCAAAAGATGGTACTAACGCTTATAACCAAATTGTTCGTCTTCACCTACGAGCACGGAAAATCGAACACAAGGTGTACACATGGTACACCTACGCTCTAGGGTGTCTGTCATCGCCCCCAGCCGTACCAAATCTCGATGGACCAGGTGACATTCCCCCATAGACAAGGCAGACAAGAGACCATGCGCGGGCCTACCGAACGAGCAGGGCCGTATCAAGCTCGTGGGTTCTAGCTAGCCCAATTCTGCGTTCGATGAGACTTTTCATTTAAAGTCGTTAAAAATTACTGCGAATCATGGTTTTAAATTCCTTTTTACTTTCGAATTAGTCTTGGAAAACGGTGTATAATTTCGAATTCTTAATATGGTTTCATAGGTAAGGATAGCCAATGCTAAAGTTTTCGTCTCGTCTTTCTCTTCTCTCTCGATGGCGATAAATGTGATGATACATTAACTGCAAATGCGTAATAAAATATATAACACGTTAAATTTTAAAAATATGTGTTATCACTGCAAAAAATCATCGAGTAAAAATTACGTGTAATAATTTGTTTCATTTTTTTATGTGAGAAGATGGCAAGCGAGCTAGCCAGATGTTAAGCGAAAACCGCCGCCCATGGAATTTGCAACACCCGTAGGGTTGCCACCTTTACCTCTCCGACCGGGTTCCCGCCTTGACGTGGCGGAGGGGCTTAGTAGCCGTAGCTTGGTCACCCACGGCGAAGCTGAGAGGAACCCACAATGGGCCGGCCTGTACTGTAAGCCGGCCCGAGAGGGCCGCTCCAAGTGGGCTTATTGAGCCCACTCTGGATGCGAGCTGGAGAGTGCAGGGGATAAGTCGAGGGTGGTAGAGGTCTAGCCACTCTCCATGTCTTCGGGTACCGAGGAGGAGTCCCTATGCTTCGCGACACGGCGGAGCTGCACCGTTGTTGCAGTTGTGGTGGGGCCGCGGGGGAAGAGGAGTGTCGGTATTGCGGTGCGCCTTTCTCCCTACCCTCCGTGGCCAAAAAGTGGCGAGCGGCGTCGCCACAGGCCAGGGGCACCATGACCTCTGGTCAGCGAACTCTGTTTGATCCCCGGGAGGGGGCTGCTGAGGCGGCCAGTGCTGGCAGTATCGCGGAAGTGTGCGAAAGCATTCCCGGTGGCCCTGTCTGTGAGTATGCGTAGGCATAACCCCCACGTAAACAAAAAAAAAAAAAAGGAAAAAAAAAGCGTTGCCACCTTTTAATTACGCAGTACCATTATATATCATATATATATATCACCAGACGATATGCAGAAGTATAACATTTCCACTTTACGCCGGATGGACCTGCCCATTCGTGTAACAGCCGAAGCTGTTTCTTGGCGGCCCTACCAAAGTTGTGACGTCTCTCTGTCTATTCTACTTATCAAGTGCTTGCCGCTTAGTTTAGTGGCTAGAGCGTCTGGACGCGTAATCCGCAGGTTCGAATATTGGTAGCGGAGGAAAATTTACGTCAGTTTTATCAACATATTTTAACTTTTATCTTAGGTGCAGAGACTAGCATTAAAATAAAATAAAGTATATCTATACTTATGTAGGCACGTAGGAAGTTATACTTTAGCGTAAACTTTATTTAAATAGCTTCGAATTATATTCAATTGGTAAATGGAAATAAGTTGGTTGCCAAGATTAAATTGGTTACTAAGCATCATATCGCTTTTTGGTCAGTGTGCGCGCGAATTGTAAAAATTTTGCACTCTTAATTATCCAAACGCGCCAACAGAAGTATAACTTTAAAAAAGTAACCCTCATTCGGTTTGCACTTAAGAGTATGTTTATAATGTTAGTTTGTTATAAAATTTATAGGGACTGAGCCTTTTGTAATCACCACAGAGCTATTGGAGAGTGTTATCATTACAATTTAGTCATCAAATTGTACGCACAGACCACTTCATATAACGCTAATTACCAATTACGCAAAATTATGGTTCAGGAAGAGACTCATTGTGCGATTGATGTAAATTAGTTACGTTGTCATTTTGCCTTCATATTTATACACTCCTTTGTAAATAGATCAAAAAATGTTATAAAAGTTATAACTGACAATTACTTTTATTCTTATACTGATAGGATTATAACTGCGTATTATTAAATGAGAATATTGATTTACTTTTTTATTCATATAATTGAAAAAAAAAATTAAATTAAAATTCAGACTGCCTTGTAGTAAGTTAAATTGAATTTATTGAAACTTTACGAACTTTAAATGTACCATCAAATGTTTTGTAGACATAATTAGTTCATGATATATTTAAACAGGAAGCACAACGATAACTGTTCGATTTGCTTCGTTGCAAATTCTTCCTGAAGAAGACAGTGCCGATAAATATAGTTACGCTCCTAACCTATATGTACATACATTTACAAAGAGTTGGAACGCAGACGCGTGACATCAATTAGTACTATAAATAATTTACAGAGTTAGCTTTTCTTATCTTATAATACTATAATGATAATACCGTGAATTTCGCAATATTACTATAGCAACCAATAGCGGTTTTTTGACATTTAACAATAAATCAATGTTATTTAAATAATCCGTTTAAATCCGTTCATAAATGACGGAGCTCTGAAGTAACAAACATAAAAAAGAAATACAATTCTCCTTTTTCCTTTCCTTCTTCTCATTTGAATAAAATAAATTAATTTCATTTGATAACTATTTCACCTACAAAGAAAAAAGGTAATTTATTATTACTCCTCGACATCAACAAAATTTCTAGTGTTTTATTAACGTCATAAATGGGTGTCAATTATTTTATGCATTGTTAAGCTATTTTTTGACAAGGTTGATTGAATAATTGTATAATAATAATAATTGAATAATAATAATAGTTGTATTACACTATAATGTCTCTTACTTATATATTATTATATATATTCCCGTAGCATAAATTATATTGTCATCACGACCTAATCTAGAAGTTTTCAGTGCTTATACATTTGTAGTTTTATGTATTTTGCATTTTATATATGTTATGATTATATTATTGCCTAATTTTATGAATGCGATGAGAAGATAATTCAAAATTATGGTCTATTTCGAAACACATCGAATAATAATAGCATTTGCAAAATTACTTTTAACAGCGACATGATATGTATTTATGTACTTTAAGGCAACTTTTATCTTTTCTATAAAAGGTAAACCAATGTTCCTATTATTTAAAAGTATACTAATACTTTAAATATATTCATTTTTAATATAATCTAGATAAGTAAAAAGTTATTGAATTTTGAAATATGTTGCATATTATTCTTTTATTTACAGAACTTGCAAACTTGAAAAAAATTAAAAAAAATGTTAGTAAATGTATGTTTCAATAAATGGTCTTCTTACCATGCCAACGGAGGCCTTCCACTTCTCCTAACTCCCAAATTAATCGACACTGCAAGTCCACCACTATTTGATTTGTTTTCGGAATGAATTTTGTTACGCGCATTATAAAAAAGTTTTCTAGTTCACTAACATTCTCGAAATCTAACGAGCCCATAAGACTGCCCAGTGCGCTTTGCAAAGTGCAAATATTTTCACAAGGCACTCTTAAACCGCAATCCAAGCACCGCCATGCCGATGAAGACTTCAAAGGCTCTATGGGTAAAAGCGAGCCGGGACATTCGGCAGCGAAGCATTTGAGGGCGGCTAATAATGTACCCCGTTCTGTTGGGTCTGCGCATCGTTCGCATTTGCACAAAAAGTGTTTAGTCTTATGCAGGTGAATTCGGCGAGCCGGTGTCCCCCACATCAGTCCTGTATAACATGTGAATATTTCAGATCCCCTCGGTATGCCCTTTACAGCTTTAACGATCATTTGTAAGTCCTCGTTGTAGTTGTACCTGGTGTTTGGTACACAGTTATGATTCATCAAAGATGACACCGGATAAAGTCCTCTCTTCCCCATTTCTTTTTTCCCGTACGGAGTAGCTATTTGGAAAGCATTCGCATCTAGTACGTAGGAGGCCAAAATCATAAACTGCTCGTCCTGTGGAGGTATCTCGAAGTATTGATGCAAATCTTTGATTTCCGTGCCATGTTGCGGTAGCATATGGGCCTGGAGGGAAGTCATAAATTGTTTTTGATCATCACTCAGTAGTAGCGCTCTTATAGCAGTTAACGCACGCGACAGTAGCGCGTCGTCAACATCCTCAATGGGCACTTTATTGCGCCAACCGGAAATTATTTTACAGTCGTTGTAATGAGCGCTATTGTTCTGACACGACTCCGAACATAGCAAAAGCGAACATTTTTGGCACTTGTAAAACTTGTCGCTTTTTAACGTGTAGCAAACTGTGCAGCCGCGTTGGACGATCGCTCCGGACCGTGGGCCATAGATGAGCGGATGATCGACGAACAACACTTCACCGGATGAGATGTCTTTCGTCGCGAAGAGACCACGGCCGCCTAGCGGTGACTCTGCGATGATCCATTTCGTGTTATCGTTGTCGTCTGTCAGACCCAGATGAAGTTGGACCATTTGAGAAAACCGTTCCGTCGGTAACATCCTCTCGCAGCTCGTTCGGAGCGGGTACTGCACAGCGGACTGGGCTCTAATACACACCAGCGAGTTTGATTTACATCGCCGAAAACATACGCGATCTTCCACGCAATCAACTGTGCCCGATAGACGTGCGCCGGCTGCGGGAAGTGAGCGTTGAGCGCACCTGACGTGTTCCACTTGGGCGTTGCCAAGCCTATGTTGTTTTATCAGGTAATTTGCGTGCAAACCACTCTGATAAATGTGTTCCCGCGTCTGGCGGGCTTAGCGATTACCTGAGCTCATCGTGCCAACATTTTAAAAGACGCACCCGTCACAACCGGGAAAATAGTGTTATATAAGGAGGAAGGCGGTTATTTTTAAATCGCAGTATGTAGTCAGGAGTAATGTATTAGTAGCTAACCGATGCCACGTTGTAAATCTAAACGTGAAGATCCAACGATCAAAGGACGTCTATAAATGAACTGCTATGGTGAGAAAAACCAGCAAATTATTGGGATGTGAAATCAGCAAATTACGTATTTAATATTTGTATGATCAATAATGTAGAAGTAAAAAAATCATTAAAGTAATGTAAATTATAGTAGGCTTATTCTATATTTCTTATTAGTTTATGGTCTAGACATGGAAACCTAGAACTTGAACCATTTACCATAGAATTAAAAAATGTTTAGTTACGCTGAGCAATTTTAAACTAATTTGAGAGTAGGAATTCATACTGCTTTTTAACATTATATTTGTAACTTTTCAATATAATGTTTTGGTTTAAAATACAATAATTTTCAATGTATTTAACAATTATTTTTAACCTATAACTACACATTTTAATAAATAAAGAATTATGTCGTATAACGACAAAACTTGAGTTAACATATTCTATTTTATTTATACTCGTATATTCGTAGGTATGTTCCAATTGACTCTATTTTTCCTGTGGTAGGGCCACCCAACAGTCGCTGTTGCAAGAATGGGCAGATCCGTCCGGGTAAGTACCAATACCTCCCGGAAGACCGGCTTGAAGTGGAAGTGTTATACTTCCGCGTTTCTTCTGGTGAGTGTGGTAGCCGGGACTCACATTATTAAAAGATCGCAACGCATCTGCAACAATACGGGTGTTGCAAATGTCAAGGGTGGGGGTTATCACTTAACCGACTGCTCGTTCGAAACCTTTTCACATTAAAAAATATTGAGGATCTATACATATATTATAGCGTAAATTGATTAATCGTCATAGAAAAATTAATTTATGTTTACTTATTATTTAAAATCAGAATACAATTTAGATCCTATTAATTACGTACTAGTTTAAGGTGTAATAACAATTCTATTGATTTGGTAAATCTTTTGCTATTATAGGTGACTAGTTGCTGCCCGCGACTACGTCTGCGTAGAATAGGCTGAAGGCGTAACATTCAGACAGAAAGACAGATATACATAAAGAATGTATATAGATTATAGCCCATGTCTTATTCTGATGTATAGGCTATATTATTGTAAAGTTTCATTAAAATCCATTCAGTAGTATTAGCGTGAAATAGTAACAGACATCCATCCATACATACAAACTTTCGCGCTTATAATATTAGTAAGGATTAGTAAAGATGTTTTAACACCAACTTTATATGAACCTGTATAGCGTAATTGTGTATTTAAAATGTACGATTCGTCAGTAGTTGGCAGTTTTTAACTGCTTAAAGTATCTGAAGCAGGACGTTCACGCCCCCGATGCCGCACACAAAGTGGAACCAGAACAAGTAACGCAATCCTATTCTTTTGTTCGGTAAGTGCCTACATTAGTTCGACAAACTGACCAGTCTGTGAGGATACGGGGAACACGTGGACGTCCATTTCGAATTCGTCTAAATGTTTAGTCAATAAAACGTTTACCCGAAGAGAACGACTCACGCTTATTTGGTGCCTAAGACGAAAGTCATTAAGCCCATCGGTCCTGGAGAATGCACACATTGTTCGACCATCACGAGGATGGGTGTCCATGGTACTTCTTCGATAGTTCTTACAAAATACTACTGGGCGCGTGTCTCATTGTTTTTGGTAAGTTGAGGTTAAAAAAAGGAAATAGTATAGTGACGAACTCCGAGAAAACCTAGTTAGTAATTAACAATACGAACTTTTGTATAAGCCGAATTATTGCCGAATAAATTGGAAATTTATAAAAAATAAATTGATTGTAACTGTTGTCAGGCGTGTTTGGGGTGCTGCTAAATGGCTGGCTTTTTGCCACGTTCATCCACAGTCACCTGCTAATTTCTAAGAGCCATATACTCATTCTCAATCTATGTTCGGCATCGCTGGGCCGAAATCTTCTCGGTTTCCCATTTTCGGGATCATCGGCTATAGCTAAAAGGTAAGAGAATTTCCTCTCAAACTGTATTCTAAAGTAAATTAAAACAATATAAAAGTTTTTTTTAAGTAATTACATAAAATTCATAAGCATGTTTTGCTTATTAGACTAACTAGGCTAAACCTAACATTAAATATCGAATATTAGCGTTCAGATTTGATTTCACTCTCTTTTATTAGCTTCATCTGCATGAAATTTACTGTTTGACTCTATTTATGAATGAATATAATCTAATTTATAAAATTATTTTTTAATCCTTTCGGAATATCGTATGTGTGAAGTTCTATTTTATTTTTGATAAAATAATCTTGGTCATTTGGAAATTATTCAAAGGTGCATAAAGTATATAAATTTTGATACTGGGAATCTTCACGTAATTCCTTAGAGCGGGTTATAAATGAATAAATATGCATTTGTGCTCTTAACCGAAAACACGAATATTAATTAAAGAATTGGTTGCTCAGTATTTTAAAATTATTCTTGAATATATTTATATATATAATTCTTTTGAACGTGTGTACGTCACTGAACTCCTAAACGGCTGAACCGATTTTAAGTGATTTTTTTTGTGTCTTCAGGTCGATTCAAGAATGGTTTTTAAAAATTTTTTTTTTTTAAGTTGTCGGATTTAACTCGTGTGTACAGGAACAGGACATCGTCTGTCCGGTCCGTTAGTTAAGTTATAAATCAGAATGAAAACTACATATTTTTTCTTTAAAGGATTTCTGGGATTTCTTTTTTAATAATAATTATCCTTACACAAACAAGTACAAAATTTTACTTTTATTTTTTATTGCAAAATATTCTCATATGGTGGGTCATTTATTAAGTATTTAATATTTTATTCATGAAAATGAAAATGTCAATATAAAAAAAATGTGATTGCATTTTTTTTAATGTTATATTACCCTGCAAGTGCTAAATATTTTTACTAAAACGGACACTGAATATAGGCAGACATACTTGAGTGCGGAAAGTATCTTAATTTTAGTTTCCGAGACGGAAAAAGGAAAATCTTTTATTAACAAAGACGGAATTCAATGTGATTTGATTTTGTCCTATAATAGTTATTTTTTTTCTTTTCAGATGGATATTTGGTTCTGCGTGCTGTCAGTTATTCGCATTTTTAAATCAGTTTTTCGGAATATTCCAAATTACTGCACTATTCGCTTTAGTATTGGAGAGATATTTATTAGCAAGGCGTAATAGAAGAGGTGATTGAAATTTAAATCGGCCATATATGTATGTCAAGTTTTCTTTTAGTCTCATAACTGGTATTATTTCAGAGAAAACTTTGTACTTTAGATTTTACTGGATCGCCGTCGGCGTCTGTTGGATCAATTCTGTGATATTTGCTACGCCACCTTTATTCGGATACGGGGTTTATTCGTGCGATTCCACCGGTACAATTTGTTCCCTTCTGTGGCCCTCGTTATCTTCCGGCGCAAAACAATTGGGATATTGCATACCGTATGTTATTTGGTGCGGCATTGTTCCATTAATATCAATGTTAGTTGTCAAAAAATATTTAATCTTTTTTAATAAAGTAGAGAAGTAGAGAGATGTAAGATGCTTAAAACATTGTTGTTTAAAATGTTGTAGATTCCATTTTATGGGAAAAACCGTACGATTGGAGAAAATTTACTATAGAAATGAGCAGTTGAGGGAAGAAAAGCGACTGACGAAGGTTAATTTAATAAAATAATTCACTTTTGAAAAATATACATAAAAACATATTTTTGGAATGAAGTTCCTGAATGCAGCTTGCGGGAGATGTGAGTCGGTAGAAATCTCCATGTAATGAAATAGTACATATTTTCATGCCATTCTACTCAGTGCTAGTTAATTTAGCAATGTGGAGCGGTTAGTTTTATTAAGTGTTTTCTTTTAATTAAATAATCTTATAATCTATAATTCACTTTTAATATATAATTGTCATTGAGTGAATATTTTCCCCAAATCTTTAGACCTTACGTTACTTGAAAAATGATAGTAATTGAAAACAATATACAGATTTTACTACGACACAGTCAAAGACTCGGGTCATCCGACATAGGTACTGTTTTTTTTACTTATCACGCTACAATATCGTAGAATGAATATTGAAGGCCTGTCAGGCAGTCTACTAACATTTCTCGTTTAGCTACACTTATATACAGCCTTTTAAGAGAATATTGGCTATTTCTTTATCATTTTCCAACAGAGCATTCATATAGTTTGCGTAGCAACATTGACGCTGTGGATTCCTGCTGGTGTGCTAGTTGGTTGGCAGTGGATATCGCTCCTTATTTACGGCTACAGACCGCACATACCGCCAACTCTCACACTATTGGCGCCAATTGCTTCCGAGGTGAATTCATGTTACAGTTTCCTAACATTTTTCCATATCAATTAATTTTGTTTAACCACGTGTAATATCTAAATCACAAAACCATTTATGAGGTTATACTTTTTTTGGAGCGTTTGGAAAAAAATATGAGAGTTAATTTTTGCGCGCACCTACACTCCCAGGAAGCAATAACTTATTGACATTTACCTGTAATTCCAAGTTGTAACTGATATCAATTGCATATTTTATTTTTTTTTTTTATGCAAACAAAGAGTACGAGTACGGGATAAAATAGTTTTACATTACAGATTTTTGGCACTTTGGTTCCTCCGCTCAAGAAGTACGCGAAGAAGTTACGTGCGTACACCCGGACGGGCCTGCCCATTCGTGCAAAGCCGAGGCTACACACTTATAATATTTTTTTTCAAACAAAGAGTACGAGTACGGGATAAAAGTTTTAGTTATTTTACTTTTGTTCCGCTCAAGAAGTACGCAAGAAGTTACGTGCGTACATAAAAATACACACTTTTTTGTATCAAATTTCTAGCGAGACTATTAATCTGATTGTGATATGAAACATTTTTTTTTAAAATGAAAAGATTTTTCAACCGAATAAATTTAAAACACGGAACTTAAAAAGAAGTGTTATAATTTACGTTCTGTGATTGCTCTCAAATTTATTCTATAGAATTACTTGATTATTTACTTCCTTACATTTAAATTTATATATTTTCTTTTAATTCCCCACAGGCGGCAACTAGCATACCAGTATTATGTTATCTGTCTGGAGATGAGAGGCTGCGGGCCGCATTGTTAGGACGCATGCGCAAGCACTACGGTCTCCTTCGACCAGATCGTGCTCAGCGATACATCAGAACATGACAATAGGAGGGCGTCTAGAGAATCATTCAACAATCGAATTTTGTACATTACAACCAAAAGTGGGACTCACAATGATGCAAACATTTTCTGCAAATTGTTTAACATTATTGACACACCCAGGAGTATATATAATTTTAAAGAGCATTCGTTTGATTTTATTTTAGAGATTTTCACTTAGCATCGATATGATTGGACAGTTACATCACTATGTAGAACATGAAATATATTATTGATTGTCATTTTCATTTCGCGGTTATGTTTGTAATGGTGATTCTAAATAAGAATGTGTCGAGTGTTTTTTGTCAAAATTAGTTTCCATCTGGTTTTACTTGCCAAAAGGTTTTAAGATAATTTCTAATTAAGTATTTTTTGTACAAAACGGTTTGGTGCCTTTGTTGTACTGTCATCATATTTCACGTTGTTAATTTATTGTTGTGTTATAATGATTATTTCTGTTTGTTTTATATCTTTGTTTTTTAAAGATTACTTTCTTGACAGTTAATCTATTTGGTTATTTGTAGTAATATTTCGACCACCATAGATTTAAAAAGGTCAATATTTTATTTTCTTCGTTTTCGTTACATTAAAATAATCGGTAAGTTCACAGAAATTAATTTATTTCGTTATATGCATGATCCCGGCAAGTGATTACAAGTGTTGTATATAAGTTTTGCGTTTGGCGTGACAACGAATAATTTAAAATTTTTTAGTTGTTACTATTTAAAATTTCACTTTATAAAAAAGGATAAAAATTCTTAATGCAAAGCTACATTATTCTTCATCAAAGTATATTTAAATAAAAGTAAATTTTGACCGAACAATATGATTGAAAAAAAAGCCGTGCAACATGGTTGATTATTAATATACACATACAAATTATGATGAATTAAATTTGTTTCTTTGCCTATTTATTTTTACGTAATGACTTATGTTTCTCTGAAACTGCTGAATACATTCGAGAATTTCTTTCACAATTGTTTCATAGTAGTAACATTAACTACGTTTAATACATATAAAAGTTTTTATTTATAAAACTCAATATTTGGGTTACGTTGGAAGAATTGCATGAAAACATTTAATTGATGCTTGCAACTTGCAACTGCTTTGTTAAATGTATTTAGGACGGCTAAATGGGCGTTTTTTTAAGTATTCACTATCCTATATTTCCTTAATATAAAAAGGTTAAGCATATAGGTGTATGAAATATGGAGGGATAAATTTACAAAAGTTGATATTTCTGTACCAGTTTGTGCTTGCTCAACCCGGTGTGGGTTGAGCAAGTTGATATAAAATGAATCATTCAAAATGATCTCAATTTAATAACTGAGTATAACTTTCGATAAATTGCGATATCGAAAATTTCGACAAATTTTAGGTTAGTCCACTCGTACGGAGTAGGCCAATATATCCTGTGCATGTAATTTTATTTAATTATCTTTATGAAATAAAAAAATGCACTTTATTAAATAACGTAGTTTTATTTTATTACGATACTCAAATAAACGTGCTCAGGGAACAGAACTAGGTACCTATTTTAGTAACATGATCACTGTAAACAAATCACTTCTACATACACCAAGCTACATGAATCGTTTTATTTGTCGAGATCGTATTCAGTAACAATAGATAAAACAAACAGAGCGTAAGAAAACTGGTTTCATTTTGTCGTAGTAAGCGATGCAATATGAGAATTAAAAGCATGTTAGTACAAATCCGGCCGGCTCCATTTTCCTAGGTGCTTGTGAGTTGCACGCAGGCGCACTGCAGCCATCTCTGGCATATTTACGTTTCTTTTCATCGAGCAACAGGCTTAATTAACTAAGACCCAGGAAAAAAAAAATGTACGGAAAATCAATCGACACCGAGGACTGTTACTGGGAAGGTGCTTTTGATAAAGGAGCCAAAGCTACGTTGATTAGCGGATGGGTTATAACAGGTGATGTTAATTAATGCTAAAATCATAAAATCCTAATGTCATACCACGGTTCATTTCGTTTCAAGTAATTTCAGTTTTACGTCAATTTGCATTGCTTATTAAAACATATGGGTTTGATTTGTTGAATTATTCGTATATTGTGGTTTTAATAACTTTTTATATTTTAGGACGTATTGCGTTCTTTTTGATCATATGGCTAAACCTAAATCTATGGTGCACACCACTAAGGCATGATCTCAAATATCGAAATTTGGCTGCGTTCACTACAGTGTTGACCATCCGACGTGGATATCACTATATTTTTTATTTTTTAAGGTTTATGGAATATGATTGGTAGGTTTATTTTTTGTAAATGATATTTGTTCGATTTTTATTTTCAACGTAAACTTTAGTATCGGTTCTCTTAATTTTATTTTCCGAATTTGTTAAACTTCTATCAAAATTATGTTTTTACTTGTCACTTTTGTTTTATTTTAGGTTTCTTGACATTCATAATTGTAGTACTTACGGGTTTTTGGACACGTTTTTGGGGGTCTACGAAGTAGAAAGTCTTACGCATGTCTGTATTGAAAGATATGTTGTATCCAAGTATATTGCAAATGGTAAGTTTAAAATAAAGAGAAACGCACTAAAACGCACTAAAATAGAGTTTGGGTATTTGACACTCAAACTCGATACTCGTATCATGCACCCGGTATCCTACGTAATTACTTTTTCCGAGATAGAACTTGTTTTATTTTAAGTTTAAATGTCTTTTAACTATTTATTAATATAAGAAATTTTCAAATTTAATGGTTTTATCTTTATTTGACTTAAATTCTGTTTTGTGCAGTTGGCGACTATAAGTGGTAATTTTTTTGGGCTTAAAAATGTTAAATCAATAAGTTATGGAAAATGTTATGAAATTAGATATTCATATTTCAGGTTGGCCGATCAAGCGATGGCACTATATATTATACCAATGCCTATGTTTGTTCTTTTCACTGCTTTACTCGCTCTCGCCATTGTTTGGAATTGGCAGTTACGTTAAGGATTTTTCTTGCCTAACATGCACGTATAACATGATTTTACCAGAAACATGGGAAAAATACGTGGTGGTTACCATCTTTCTGCTCCGCAGCGTAAAACCTTTATTCTTCATGTAAGTTTTTAATTTAGTTTAGTAAACTTTGTCAATTATTTTAAATGTATGGAAACCTTTCTCAATTATTTTAAATGTATGGAAACCTTAATATTATATTTCAGTATGATAATGAGTTTTTGGACGCAGAAAATGGAAGGAAAATACGATGAAAAGAACGTACCGTGGAAGGAAGTTAGGTTTGCTCATGTAAGTTTTTATTTGTATGATATTATTTCTTTATCATTATTGCCTTTATTATTGAACTACATATTTATATTTTAGATTGTGGATGTGACTACTACAATGACCATTGTGTGTTGGCTCCCTATTACTCTTATAAGAGGATTAGTTATTATATTGGTGAATTTTTTGCACATTGATATAAAGTTGGAATATTTTGTAATTTTTATTAATTGGGCAATATGGATTGAGTGGGTAAGTGACCAATATTTTTGGAATTTTAAAATTTTTCTAAATATTATAAACTATTCCATGGCACGGCACAGGCGTATATTTTTAATCAACCTAATGTAAAATTCATTGAGTTAAACAACCGGAGAAACGAACTCATTACCAGTCGTCGAAAAAAGTGTTACCACTATTTAACCGCGACGACATAGCTTAGAAGCCGCTAAAAGTTTTAATTAAAACAATATAATAGATATTTGTTTTACTTACACAAGTCATAAGGACAATACCGTGCTTATTAGACAAAGATCGCGATATAAACACGCCTTGGTTGGTTGGTGTTGCCTACCATATGAAACTTTAGCCAAAATTATCTGTAAAAACGAGTAGTTTTCTTTTTACAGAAGTTAAATTAATTAAAACAAACTTAATTATGTACATCTAATTGGATGAATAGAAGGATGGATAACTAATGAGATAATTAAGACATTTTCTGGTTAAATAATTTTTATTTGTAATTGTAAATAAAAATCAAATCCCGATATGAAGTTTAGTTTTGTATAAAATTGCATTTTCGAATCCTTTATGTAAGTTTGAGTGAATAATTTGCAATGTAAAAATTTAAATATTAAATATATTTTTATTTAATCTTCGCTTAATCAAAATAACTTATTAATTTACAGTTTACTCCAGCAGTTATAACTGTAACTCTACTGTACGTTGATCATCTTCTTCGCGCCAAAATGTTTGGGGTCGACAAAAGTGAAGACGAAATAGTTAAAGTTTACGAAAAAGAAAGTTGAACTTCTCTGTAAAACATAAGTTCATTTAAAATAAGAAACATTAAGTAAAATATTCTTTATTAGTTTATCTTAATTCGCTTGTTGAAACCATCAACTAACGATCGATATGTACATTTTATATAAGTCGTTAACTTGCAAAATCAATGACAAATTCAGACTACCCAATTAATTAAGCTTTGTTGGATTAACGTTTAGTGGGTGATTTCAGAATTGTTTTGTATACAACATTCGGCCTGTAGGCCTTTCAAAGCTTCGAGAAATATGATTAAAAATATAACTTATTACTATTTGATAACTTTTGCGATTCTTATTGAAATAAATTGTTTTTGGTGACGTACCAGTGCTTACATTTGTGAATTGTGGAAATCTGCGAAAATTTGTCCGTCATCACTGAAATATTTCGTATATACATTTTATTCAACACTTCCGACACTGATGTTTATTTTATTTTCATATCGGGACCTTGTTATCATCATGTATAGTTTTTTGTAAGCCCGAAGATATTAAAAATTTCTGATTCAAACATGACAGAAAGATCAGAAGCAAATATTTGATGTGAACAATTAAAACATTTTTAATGTAATGAATTTTCTTCTTTATAGAGAATCAATTAAATTGGATTTTAATTGATGTACGTTTAGTGGAACAAATATGATATGGCACGATTTGTTTTTGGTAGTGGCTGAAATAATTACAGAATGTTACTACATTTACATGTTACGACATTATAACAAACTATGTGCAATTGATTTACATTGATTTCAATATGAAAAAAAAAAATAAAGATAATAATAAAATACAAGCAAGATTATAAAACAAACATAGTTCGAATTAGTTAACATAAAATATTTTAGTTCAATCGATGTAATTTAAAATTCCATTAATGAAAGTGTTACGGCGAAATTTTCTCCTGTTATAAATGAAAAAATAATCTTCTGTTCTATAAGGATTCATGATTTAGCTGGTCGTATATCGAACTTTAAGATGACAATATTTGGTCCGTAATAAGGCAATGAATAAATAGACAATATACAATTCTATATCCTTCTAATCTATTATAAAAAGTATACAACGAAGTAGTGATAAATCTTGAGTGTAAAATAAATATAGTGAACATTATAAACACGATGATTAGATTATTGTACTATGTGCGGAAAAATTTACAGTCTTTTCAGTATCCAGAGTTCTATTGTTACCAGGATGATATATTTAGTGTTTATGTTTTTAATCGCGATTTAATTAATTAAATTTATTTATAAGAAGTATGGTGAATAATCGCCATTAATAAATTAGTTTTATACATCATCAAATAAATTATGTTATTGCGCATTTTAGCGGAATTGTCACTTTATGAATATTTTTTTCTAATCTGCCAAGATTGCTTTCATAATTATATAAATATGTATATACGAAAGCTACGGACTTTTCGAACAGTGTAAATTTTTTTAAATAACATTTTTGTAAAGTCTAATATAGAATATGATTTAAAAAAAAGCAATATATTTTACAACCACTTCTATTTTTATATAAATGCGTTATGTACATTCTATACAAACGCAGTAAAATATACCATAGTAAGTTTGTAAGTTTCAAAAAGTAGAGCTATGAGACGAATATTAAAAGTTTGAAGTTAGTTGATCATTTGTATAAGTGCTTATTCTGTGTTTTAAACCCAGTTGCCTAAAATATTATTGAACATTACGGACTAGATAAATAGTTAACATTTTACAATTTTATTTTAAATATAACACATAAATGTACAATAAAACCTATATAATCATGTATATTTATAATCTTAAGAATTTAAGCAAACTAAATAAGTTTAAAATGACAAACCAGATTTTTATAACTGAATTACAATTATTGAATAAAGGTAAACAGATTACACTTCTCTTCATTACACCTACACATTAACTTATTTCCAGGCACTCTAAACACTTTTTGGAATGAGTTTGACGACAGTCATTAAAAATTTGGTCGTATTCGTCATCTTCACTATCATGAACGTCTTTATGGCAACAGAAATTATCTTTATAAAAGTATTCCTCAGTGTCTGCTACGACTGCAGTTGTATAAACCCTGTTACTGTAAGTGTCCTCTGTGGATCCTGTGTACGACGGCGTAGAAGGACTGTTGAGCACGATTACTGGGTAGTCGTGTCGAGTCCTTCTAGGAGCATCCTGCTATATTTCCTCCATGACCGTTTCTTGGTTCCATCTTCTCCGATTATTTCGCCTCTCTATGATAGGTATGAAGAACAGAATGAGCCCACTTAACGATATCGTGCCGCCGGCAACGTAGAAGCCTGGTGCATACGAGTTTAGCTCATCATACAGCCATCCTGGAATAGTTTGGTTATAAATTTAAAATTAGCCTATATATATGCGTCAAAATCATTCAACTATATTGTTATTACAAACCTGCGAATGGTGGACCTATCAATGATGCGATTCCTTGAAATAGAAGTAGTAGACCAAAAGCATTTGTGAGTTTTTCTATACCAAGCAGGTCTACTAGCACCACCGATGTCAAACCCACGTAGGCACCTATAGTGAAACCGAACGTTGTCGCGTACAACGCTAATCCCCAAAATTCCCAGCACGCCATCGCCAGAGCTGTACCTGTAATAAAAAGTCATATATATTTTCTTGTAAGAAATAGAACAGATACAACTGTTTTATTAATTATTATAATGTATATTGTTATAATCTATATTAAAATATTATTAATCTAATAAATTACAAACAGACGTTATACTTACTTATACCGGAAATAGTAAGGCACAGGTTGTAAGCGAGCAATCGGTTAACCCAAGGTTTGTCGCTTATATATCCAAGGATAATTCTTCCAACTAGATTAGATGCTCCAATAATAGATATTAAATAAGCTGGGTTGGGCACCCCTAATTTTTCACTCATAGGGACCGTGTAAACATATGGAATATAAAAACCTATGCTAGTCAAAAAGTTTGAAAGAGAAAAAAGAATAAATATTGGATCAACTAAAAGAGATAAGTCGAGCATTTCTGACAAAGCCGCTTTCGACTCATCTGAACACGGCAACCACCCACATTTCTGGACTGGATCTTCTGATGACTCCCTTAACTGTACTCTTTCGGGAGAGGTTCCTCTAAATTTGGCAAGGCTTGTTACACTTCCTTGGTACAACACGTCTGGTCGCAGCATTATTCCACTCCCATGGCGAGAGTGCGATTGATGCTTTAAATCATTTGGTTTATTTAGCGCAGGCTGAGAAAGCGTGAGTCTTGCGACATCATTATCTTCCACTTTTCCATTCGCTCTCGCAACATTTTCAGTACTCTGTGAGCGTTTTAGTGGAGATTTCTTCGACTTGACTAACATAGGTTCCGATGCTGACATTTTGGGTGGTTCGGGCACTGGTTTAAACATAAGGCCTAACGGCACACAGTTGAGAATTAAAGCTCCCATAATAGCCATCGCACCTCGCCATCCGTAGTTAGTAATGAGAGCCGAAGTTATTGGTGCAAACAAAAACGTTCCCAAACCCGATCCGCAAACGGCAATGCCTGGAATGCAAACAGATTAAATTAAATCCACGTTTTACATATATACTGTAAAGCTTTTTAAAAAAAAATATGCTTTTTTTGACTTTTAAAAAAATGTCCTATAAATCCTACGTTATTCATTTCAAAGTAAACCGGTTGCAATATAAGATTCCCGACTTTGACTTTTAAAGATTTGACAAAACGGTTCTTCGATAGACATGTGAGGCAGAACATTTTATGGACCTCATCGTCAACATTATGACCTGTTCTAGTTCACTGCTGCAAATCTGCACAAGTTGTCACTCCATCAAGTAGAAGATCATTCTACTCTGCGATGGCATATCAAAGATAAATTAAGCGCTCTCACGTTAATACAAGATGACAAGAAGAACATGTGAGGCAACGCTGCTTCTTGTTTGCCAGACTTTTAATTATAGTTAACTTAAAAATATTATTTCAACGCTGCTTCTTGTTTGCCAGACTTTTAATTATAGTGGTTCAGTGGAAAAGGTGTTCATCAACTATTTAAAATCTATGTTAATGACACATTAAGTTACCTGTTGCAAGGCTTCGGTATCGCTCGAACCATACAGTGACACTGACTATTGCTGGCAAATAGATGAGTCCGAAGCCTAAGCCCGCCCCCACGCCAATCGTAAAGATAAGTGTCAGCACATTGCCAGCGAAAGCGGAAGCGATAATGCAGGCGGCTGATAGTAAAGCCCCGGCAACTGTCACCTTACGACACCCCCAGCGGTTAACGAATGAACTTGAAATTGGTCCTGAAATTAGAAAATGACCAATATCAAAGCACATTGTTACATAAAAATATTTTTCTACGATCAAGGGTCAGAGTCCGCTTTGCGTTCATGGATTCGCGTTCGAAACGTTGAGAGTTAAGCAAAAAAAAAAAAGTCGATAAAATCCGTGAAATACTTATTTTACAAATCTTATGCTTGTGTGCAGTTTTCAATTGAACGGTCATTTATTTACAAGTCAATGTAATATAATATGATCCTTGGTGGAAAGAATATGAATATTTCAAAGAAAGATTTAATCATCGAATCGCTTTTGTCATTTTTACTTAATAGTTAAAATTTACATGAGTTAAAGGAAATTATTTTACGGATTTATTACTTATTTAATTCTGATCAACGCAAAAGGAGATTATGATATCTTGAGGTATAGCAGTGTTACTGTGCTTAGATTTAATTTTATTATAAATTATAGGATTTCAAGCTGATACGAAAACCCGACCATCTTCTCTATTGAATTTAGTTAGGTTGTTTCAATTAGGGTGTTTCTATAGTTTTACATAGACTGTTGCACGAATGGACAGGCTCGTCCGGGTGAGTATCACGACCTCACTGAAGACTAGCGTAATGTGGAAGTATATTACTTTCGCGTTTCGTCTGGTGAGTGAGGTAGCCGGAGCCCAATTTTCAAAAGGTTGTCAACGCATCTGCAAATCTACCAGATGTCCATGGGCATGTCGGTATTCACTTAACATCAGGTGAATGCTCGCATGGCAACTTTTCACATAAAAAAAATCATAGAGTATATGTTTTAATAGCCTAGCGGATCATCCTCGGGAGGAATCGGTATTCTTTTGCGAGGATTTGAGGTTTGTCGAATCTAATGTGGTTAGGACGGTCTAGAATATGATTATGAACGGCAGACTTTCAACCGTTATTGCGTTCACGTCAGCTATGTGTTATTTTAATCTGGTCTTTCTTTTTATATAATATTTAATATTATTAATCAATGTAAATTGAAAATGTCTTTAAGTTTTGGATAATTTTTCTATTAAGTTACTGATGTAATCGTCTGATATCAACATATTGCTATTTGACATAATTGACTCATGTTATGTTAATGAGATTTAAAGGCGTGCCTGTTATCGTGATATCTTTAATGAACTTTTGACATCTAAATGTTATATTTGTTGTAATAATCGCTAAATATTTTTCGCGCAATTTACAAAAGTTTTAAGTATTCTATTACTTCTACAAAAAAAATGAACCGGAGAAAAAATGAAATTGAAATAGCAAATAAGGAGTATTTCTGTGTTTTTTTATGCCTAAAAGGATTATTTATTAATAAATTGTATTCAGAACATACCCGAGCTTAGTGTAACCCCGACGAGGATAGATACGATCCAAGCGGTCTTGCCTTTGCCCTCATCGAAGTAGGTCAGGAACTCTGCATAGAACACGCCGAACGAATATGTCATACCATCGGCTGGAATAGAAAATTCGTGATTATTAATTAAATCCGATGAAATTAAGGTAAATTTATGATCTAACGTCATTCCGTCTAAAAAATTAAAAACTTAAAAATTTGTCTATTGTTACATTTTTAGATTTAATCTTTGGTGTGAAATGTGGATAGCATTATATTTATCCTTTAATGCTATGTATGTAAGTGCTTGAATAATTTATTGAAAGAAAATTAACTACTTAAGTTGATTACTGGAATAACATGTATGGAAATATTACGACTGTGACCAAATTAAATCAGTACCTATGGTTTAATTATACTTTGCGAGTAATCTAGTTTAATTAAGCAACCTGAGTTCAGGTGCCGGTCGTTATAATTACAAGCGCTGATTTATTAAGGATTCGGCAGTCAGTCTGTCATCAGAAATTAGCGAGAAATATTCCATCGAAGATTTGATAGCATAATTTGCTGGCATATTTGTATTTTATTTTAAACGAGAAATTCTTGAATACGATATAAATACCGTATTTCTCTGAAACTGCTCTAACAATTTAGATCAAATTTGTATTTAGATCAGGTAATGCTTTACAGTTCTTTCGTATCTATAGAGATGTCTTTCCAGAAAAAGAAATCATTTCACAAAAAAAAATATGAGTCTACAATAACATTGTCATATAGCGCCATTCCGTTACGTTTTGAGATACTTGCATTTTCACTATTAGATATTAGTCTACCGATTCCTCAATACTTTGCAAAAAGAGGCTATATTAGTTTAATACGAATAATACAAATATAATACAATCTTCTAACTTTTGTTTAATTTTACGATACCAATAACTGCTACAAAAACAACAATGTATTGCAACTTGGAAACAAGAAACTTGCATTTCTACGATTGTTAAAAACATTTCAGAGATATGTAAAGTTCTAGATTCGTCACTGTCTCACAAGGTAACCTTTAGTTGAATTGTCTATTTTTCAAGCAGTGGTATATACTGATTATGTAGGAATTAATGAAATATGAATTTATGAAAACAGGCTTTCATAGGGAGCCGAGGACAACACAAGATATCACAGGTGTGTTTCCAACACTTAAATTCGGACCTCAGAAGAAACGCAAAATTATAAGTAATTAGCTGTATTTCACACTAGTTTATGAAGCCAGTACTTCTGCTGATAATTGTTATGCAAGCTGTTACTACACTATTTTATGGTCCATGGTGTTATCATAAAATAGTTTAGTTAAAAGTAAATACTTAAAAGTAAGTTAAAAATAGTGTGTTAACTCGGGTATAGTGAGTAACCAATTTTAATGCCTCAAACTGTACGAGAGTAACAGCCAGAGGTAAATTTCACTATCTGCACAAGAATATTCGAGTGTACGATATTGATTTATCCGATAGCCCTTATCTTGAATTGTGACCGTTTTCTAACGAAGTAGGTTAACATGATAGGCTCATACGAAGGTAACAATGCAATATCATTGGTGACAGACGGGAGTACGTGGCAACGTGCCGGAGGACAATAGGCTTGGGCTATTGGGAACAAAGGATTTGTGGAGGCAAAGGCTTATTGAAACGTGGGACAAAAACTATACACCTCAAGTGATTTTAGACCTAAGGGGTTAATTTAAGTGACCTGAAAGGGTAATCGACCCAAAATGAGGAAGAAATGAACCTTATTGGTTCTTGGCCGAACTTGTTCGTTTTAAAAATGAGTGAATAAGATCTATATACTTATTCGTTTCAATTGCCGTACAATACATTCAGTGGCGGATTAAACGTTTAGAGCGCTGTAGGGAAGCATCTCATCGGCGCCCCTACATTAAAGTTCTAAGGTATGACTGGCATGTAAACCCTAAAACATCATATTCCCTATATAATATTTTTTTAACTGGCTTTACACGCCAGTCAAACTGTTTAATGTAAATAGCGAGTTTTAAATATATATTTTCCCGAAAACTATAAACGCCCAGAGAATCCTGCTTGTTGATTATTTAATTAGTGATTTTTCTCTATTGAATAAATTTTTTTGTTAGGTCGAAAAACAACCGGCAGTAATGCATGAAAATATCATATCTTGATTAAACCATTTAGTGCAATAATTATATTCTTGTGTATCGTTGTTGATATCCCAATTGACTAGGTTACAATCGATAAACAGTTTATTTTGCGACTGCTTCACAACTTCTACGACGAAGTAGGCGGCGTAGGCTCGGATAAAATTTGTGGTTGTTTATAACTAGTAGGAATTTCATATTGCATAGGGTCGTCAGCAGATGCACTTTGGATTTTCTTAGAAGATATAGAATCATCACTTCTATATTTTAAAAAAAAAGTCTCAATATTTTTCGATTACATTATAATGTTTTTCTTCTTTCTCCTTAGCCCTCCTTTTTCTTTTTACCTTTTACCTCAACCTGCACCATTAGGTTTTTTCTTAATTTATTCATTCTTATTATTATCGAGTAATAAACAAAACCTTAATTAAATACATACATAACACCGCAGCGAGAATGTAAACAACTCGACTTCGACGGCTTCAGCTAGAAGTCTAAGATCGCATATCGGAACAACGGCAAACCACGTGGGATGCTATACTAGAAGACATCGATCCATCGTACTCCGCCTACTGGAGGTTGGCCCATAGTTTAAAAGCAGAGCCCCACGAATCCCTACCGCCATTAGTAACATCTAGGTAATAGCGCATCACTAGCCTTAGATGATTCTGAAAAAGCCTAATGCCTTGCGGACAACCTACAGCAGCAATGTACGCCATCGTGCGAACACGTCGATACAGCCTATCTAACGGAGGTGAATTGCGTAAACGAACTTAGAGCTGTGCTACCACCGGCAGGCGAACCTTTAACCTTAATGACCCCAAGAGGTCCAAGATATTATTAAAAATCTCAAACCCTAATCCACCGCAGGCCCAGATACTGTAAGAAGCCACCGCCTCTTTCCAGTTGTCCGAGTCCATTCGCAAGTCGAAGAAACCCGATAATAAGCCCTCTAGTTATCGACCTATCAGCCTCCTCAATTGCATGGGAAGCTCTACGAGCGGCTCATATTAAATAGACTCAAAGATTTCTGTCGTATTTTCTTTGGATTACTCAAGTATTTTCAAAAGGCCATATTCCAGTTGAACAATTCGGCTTTCAAGCTAGACACTCATGTCCCGACCATTTATACCGCCTAACGGAATATATTCTAAAAGGCCTCAATCACCCCAAATATTTTAAGCACGGGAGCTCTTTTCTTCGAAGTCGCAAAAGCATTCGACAAGGTCTGGCACAATGGCTTGCTTAACAAGCTGTTCGCACTTAACGTGCCAGATAGATTCGTGTACACCATCCGGGCCTTCCTGTTTAACACTCCTTTCTATACCGAGTAAAAGGCACCATCCACTCACAGCGGGCGTTCCTCAAGGCTCCTGCTTCCAGCCCTTGCTTTCTAAGCTCTACACGAGCGACATACCAAAAACCCACACGTCAATCTCGCGCTTTTCGTCGATGACATGGCGTTCTTTTACATAGATAAAAATCTTAATCACTTCACTTCTCGTTTCCAAAGCGTCGCCGGCCGCCTCGGCTATTGGTTCCGCAATTAGAGAATAGAAGTAAATCCCGACAAGAGTGTGGCGATTACCTTTACACAAAGTACCCGTCACACTTTTATAAGGACCCTCGTCAATGCAAAAAAACTAGAGCAAATATCTTTTTTCGGCCAACCACTTCCCTTGGAGAAAAAGGCAAAATATCTAGGTGTCAGGTTCGACTCACGCATGACGTTCACATCGCATATTAACGATATAAAAAACAGAGCCGCGTTCGTCTCCGGCCGACTCATCGATGCCTTTAAGACCTATTATGTCCTACGCGTGCATCACCTATGCCCACACAAAACCTACTCGCTTGTACAAATTGCAAATAGTACAAAATCCCGGGAAAATAAGTTCATCCGCCCCGCAACCGGTGCGCAGTGGTATGAACGCAACGTTGACCTGCACTGCAGACTCTCGATGATTCGCGAACATTTTAAAGATCTCACCAAACGGTTTTTCGACAGAGCTGAATATCATCCCAATCCTCTGGTAGTAAGGACAGCAAATTACCAACCCGACACGTGCGAACGTCAATAAGCGTCGCCCGCGCAACGTCCTCATCGACCCGGTCGAGGAAGGAGACACGGTCCGCACCGAACCTCGATAGCCCGTAGGCGCCATACCATAATAAACGCACGCATGAGTACATAAAATTTATTTGTTCAGAAGAAGCCTAATTACATTTAAATTTATTTCTGATCCCCCCACTAGGCAATGCCTGTCGTATGCCGTCGTATTTAGTTCTTGACGACTTCCAATAATGATGAAACATATGCGGCCCTAGCCACTGAAGAGGGTCTCAAACCTGTGGGTTCTGGCTTGCCCACCGGTTCTGCGTTCGATGAGCTTTATAGTCTAAGGACTGAAAGCGTCATCAGTCATACAAAAAATAAAACTGAGCGTAACCAAGAAGACAAAAAAGTTGAAAGTCGTTGTCATTCTCCACTCATTTGTTCGCACCAAACTACTTAGGTCCCGCCCCAGCACCGCACCCTCGTCGCCGCAATTTTAGAAGCAGGGACGTCCGATTCCGATACTCACAAGTCGCGATCGACGCGACGTGCATTGTAGTCGTATCTTTCCAACTTCAATCAGAGATCATGTACCATCGATAAGATTGTTTGTAGCCGAAAGATTATCTTTGTTGAAATTTTTTTTATAGTGCTAATCTCCGCACTTTTCTACAAATTTTATCTTTTGTTATAAATTGAAGCAAATTGAGGTTCTAAAATAATAGTTTTTATTGTGTAAGAAGTAATTTTTGGCGTAATTAATTTTATCTCATATTATACATTTTTTCTTTCTTTTAAAATTTCGCCCGCGCGCCCCTTTGTACCCTCGCGCCCTTAGGCACATGCCTAGTATGCCTTGAGAATAATCCACCTCTGAATTCATTTATAAAGAAATAAAGCATGTTA